GGTGGTAGGGCTGGCGACTAAATAAAGGTATACGCGTACGCGAATGTATGTTATTATATACACATATGTACATAATGAGAGCCGTGGGCGGCTTAACGACGTGTCCAAGGTGGGCGAAGGCGTAAGTGGGAAATGGCAAAAGAAAATGTTCGCCAATTGGCAAGACGGAGGGCAAAGAGAAATTTGGTCGCTTAGGGTTGTCTCGCGCATGATCGATCGCTCCTATAAGAGTGCCTTCGTGTTCTGGGATGATATAATAAATTGGAAGTCTAGAACAGTCGGGGGACGAGTGTATAGCAGGCAAGGGTGAGACGGGGATGAAGAAGGAAGAGGAAGGGAGGAGGTAGCTGTGGAATGAGGGAGGCACGTGGGAGGGGCGAAAGGGGAAGGGGGATTGCAGAGCACGGTACAGCACGTGGAATACGTATAACGGGCGGTCTAATTTGACGCGTCTACGGCATTCGAGTGCGTTAAGCAAACGTCGATCACTTTCAGCTGGGCCACCCGCTAGAGAGCAAGTAGCCAACCCCTGTGGCACGGGAGAGGCGGATACCCCGTGGACGAGTCGTCAGACTTGCAGGTCGCCCGTAGGCGAATCCACGACCCGGGGAAACGTTTGGCGCGTCGCCAATAAGCTCCGGCATAATTCATTCTTTTTTCTCGGCCTCGAAATAAAGCCGCTGCATTAAATAATGAATTATCGCTGTGGGCGCGGAATCGCTTGGGAATCTCTGACGCGGCCCAGCGCCGGTAACGTTGAGGTAGTCAGGGTCTCCGAGGATACGAAGGATTATAATTTGGCTAATATAATTCGAATACGCATAACCAGCGAGGCCCAAGGAAAGTATAATGGTGGAAGTTGAGCAGGTCCGAAGGCGTCTCGTTGACGTTGGTACGTGTATGCATGTATATATGTATACGGTGTGACGTCGCGACTACGGCATCCGTAAGCTTTTATTCAAATTCAAATTCTTTTTTACGGCGGCGCTTTTAAAGCGCGAATAACTTCAAGAAGCACTGCTTACGTGTTTCTCGATTAAGCTGCTCGGCTGATAGACGCCATCTTCTTCTGTCCCTTTGTCGCTCCTTGCCGCTTTATTCCGTGTGCCGCAGGACTGTGCTGCTTGGCAGGCGAGTTCTTCGGCGTCGCGAAAATTATAAGCCCAACTTTTCTTATTTACCCTTTGCCGTCCTCGCTCTTATCGTTTAGGCAACGGATTTCTAGGTTAGCGCCAGACCGGAGTAACAGGCGAGACGCGCATGCGCGTGGCTTGAAAATTACGTCGCATCTCCCGGACGATTTGACGACGCGCCGCGCGGTTTATTGGCATTTTGCGAAAGTGAGGATTTCGACGGTATCGAACGAATTAAAATGAACGCTTGATAGATAAGCGCACATATTTCGCGCGTTATATAATGCCGACAACGACTGTGAATGCGTAACGAGATACAAGGCAATGGCAGCAGACGATAACGATTGGTACACGTTTGTAGCGACGTTTAAAATTACTTCGCGTTGTTTGGCTAGTAACTTTAACAAGAATTATATCCCAGTTTTGTATACGTGGCTTAATCGGAAATAGATACTGTATGTGTGTAATTAATCGCAGTGGACATAAATTGCCTAACTGTTATTAAGCAAAAATATTTTATTGAATCGCACAGAGAATTCCTATAAGAATATTCATCTAAACGTTAATCGGATTGTATGAAGAAAAAAAATTCAGATTTCATTTATTCCCGTTGTTATCGAGAACGACTGATGGGTTTTGCTTGTTACGCACGAAGCAGCCTAACTGTGGCAAACGTACATTATTTTCACTCTCCTTTCAATTGCGAATAAAGGATTTTCACGAAATTAAAAAGACGAGCTTTTCAAACAATCACAAGCCTTGTATAGCTCTGGCAATTTTTATTCCGCAATTCGATTCTACGTAAAGTTCCGATGTGTGAACATAATACCCACAGAATGCACCATAGGGCAAATGCGGGCTTGGAGCAACGCCGATATGTTTTCTTTAAAACACAAAAATCCTTTCTATTGTTAACTGCGTTTATTTTGTATTAATCCTATTTACTCTTTTTTTTTTCCGCGTACGGTACCGACTCTATCTACATTCCGTCAAAATTCCAAATTATTTACTTCGTTTTCACCATACGTATGATGTTGGAAGTAATTTCCAATAAATCATGCAATTCACAATGGCAAAGCAAAGGTAAATATTTAAAAGCGTATTAGGTCCGTACGCTCGGAGCAAATGATGCCCAGTCGAAGCCTCGTTTACGTAATTAGCTGGATGTACGTGTTCATTTATTTTCACTGCTAGCTTAAACGGTTCACTCAATTACGTCATCCGGCAGAGTAGGAAAATGTCCGAAATCTCTAGATTATGTAGGATATTACTGTCGTTTTCGTTGTTGATGACTACCATAGGAAAGACTGGATTTTCATTGTATACGATTTTTTTCCCCATCATTATACTCTAATTGTCCTTGGAAATTGAATCTATAGTCGTTCGAGATCACTCAAACTACGTACGCTCACTGAAACTACGTGATCGTTAATTGCTAATTGTTAATAACCACTTGGCGCTTTAGCTCTTAGCTATAAATGCAATACAATACCGCAAATAAAGTCTCTGCCTATACTATTCCATCTGTGAGTTCGCAATCGATAACTGAACAATTGGACTACAAAAAAAGTCATTAGTACCCTCAACCAGATTATAATACAGCGATATAATAAGCGGGTAGAACGTTATTCCACAATTCTATTAAAATCATAAAGGCCAAATAAAGTAGTTAAAGGATTACTAAGAGCGCAATGAACAATCGTACTTCCTGAGAAAGTGAAATAACTAAACGAGAGGTTCAAGGAATTCTCCAAAATTATGAAAACTTCTAGGTTCCACTTTCGAAACGTCATAATCACATGTCTAACAAACCGCGAACTCTTAATGAATACTTGAAATAGTTTCGCAACTGTCAGTTTACATTGTGACTATAAAACACGGTGATAATAAATATAACAGTCCGTCCGTAATTCAAATAATGCGTAGCTGTTTCGAAATTTCATAACAAACTCAAAGACTACATAAACAATCCAAATCCACGTGGTCCCATATGCCACCGGTTGAACGAAGATCTTAAATTGTCAAAGAATTTCTATTATCGTCGAGCAGCGACCATAAATAATGTAATCAGATGTTTTAGACCAAAGATGAAAACGTAAACAAATCCCAGCTCAGAGCACGTGACAAGGCAAATGCCCATTGCATCACGCACGCGTTTGTTTAAACTAGAAGGAAGCTTTTCGAATAAAGTCACGTGTATCCTAATAGCTGAATTGACAAAGAAACTTGTTGCAAATGACATACTGCAACTTCTTTCTACACGAGTATTGACTTGAATGTGGCTCGAGCCAGTCGCAAAGGGTGAACGCGCCAGGAGGACGATAAACTGGCATAGCACTGGGGTTTGTCTGTAGGTTAGAAACGAGCTACATATATTCAAGGGAATCTGACTTACCTCATCAGGACGTGGATGCTGATGGCTGCAATGTCTATGCTCGAACATTCCATTCACTACATCTACACCGCACACTATAACAAAAACAACAAACGACAATGCAACCGCACTACATTGCATCTTCAACCGCACACGAACTGCCATCGCTGACGCTCGCACTCGCAATGCATGACACATACTGAGCGCTACCGGCGACAATCCTGACTTATATACTCGCCGCAGTATGCTGGAGAGCGCCACTGTTCCATTGGACTGATCCTGCGTTTAACTCGGCTGGCTTCTTTTAAAACAGCCCAAGTTATCCTTTTATTTTTCTACTCGTTTCTGCGCGATATCATTGGCGTCTTATTGGCTATGATACTATAGTGTGACATAACTGTCTCCATCCAAAGAATACTCAAAAAGGAGGCTGGATATAATCAGGAAAAATAGAGATGCCGTTTCAAGTATTTTCCAACTGTTTTGAAGATACTATTACCCAGATAGCTTTGCTGCTATTGGATGTCATTCGAAAGAGCTTATAGGCCTATTCAATGGATCTTATTTAGTTTTATGTGTCTCGAGCTTTGTGAAAGCTATGGGAATCGATATATATGTGTATATATATATAATAACTGATATAATTTATGTATGTATATATACATATAATATAATACATAATACTTAGAATACGGGGATTTATTAAATATTAACTGATCACAGGCGTCAATATTGCATGGAGCCGTTGACTGGCTTTATCATCAGTGGATTCAATATGATTTAATACTTATTTTAGTCATCGGTCATTTCAGTTGTTCAATTTACAAAAATAAAGACGAAATAAAAATAATGTGATAGTATAGAAGGTATTGTCGCAATGACAGTATTTAGGTGGTATTCCGGAACGTCACTCGGAAGGAATTGCAACTTAGAAATCTCTTGCGTATGATTGCACAAACTAACTCTCAAAATGGTTTCAAAACAAATTAATGTTAATTGAAGTACTGTCTGAGTTGAACTAATTTATGAAAGTAGAGTGGCTTGCTTCTCTACAATAATGGCATGGATGCAAATGCAAGGTCAATTCGATTGACATTTCGCAGATCGACTTGGTTACTCTACTGCACTGCAGTTAGTATTCGAATATCTCTTGAGATAAGCACTGCACGTGTTTATTATTTCTTTAATCATTCTTTTAGTATTTTTTACAACGTTAACGCTACAGATGTTTTACAAGATTCCTTTTTACAAAAGAACACTGTATTTCATGCAATTTATGTAATAAGAGATGTTTGATGTCATGTTCACTAACATTGCCAAACTAGTAATCAACAATTTATTTGACTATTTATACTAGGAAAATTAAATATTTGCAGTAAAAATGATAACAAGCACAAAATTACCATGATTTATTTTAATCGTACTTTATTTCATATGATATTATATGTAACCTATTTGCATAGAAATTGAATAAAAATATCCTTTGTGTTATGACATTCTTTGTGTAACATTCTAGTTTTTTACTTTATTTATACTTTACAAATCTGGGCATACCAGTCTTTGCTTCGTGCACAATTTTCATTCACACAATGTGGACACCGTGTTAAAAATTTGGGTTTTATCGGCTGATCTGATCTCATATGCGTGGTAACGATATCCGTCATAGCATCAATAAATAAAGCATGATCATTTGGTGCAGCAGCACGTCTTATTCTCTCCACTCCCACCTGAACAATATTAATTATGTAGATTAATTTTTAAATATGTCTATTATTTGTATTTCATACTTTACTCACTTCTTGAGCCAACTCATGGCAATACTCGATGTCCAGTTCATGAAGTGTCTCGATGTGTTCATTGACAAAGGCTATTGGTACTAAAATAAAGTTCTTTTTTCCTTGCTTTACGTATCCCTTTATTGCGTCATCAGTAAATGGTGCCAACCAAGGTAAAGGTCCAACCTAGAGGAAGCATAAAGATATGAGTTATAAAATGTTAATTATATTATGCTTCAGAAACTACTGATGCTATGCGCTTTCCTAATATCAATTGATCAGCCAAACCAAAGTAGCTCCAAGGTTATTCATTAATACAATTACGCTAACTAGGCGTTATTGTTAAAGTGGCACATATTCCTGATTTTCTAGTTACTAGTAAGAATGCTCCAAGTTCGAAAGATCTTTGGATGAAATACCAGAACAAGTTGTATTGTCGTGACTCATTTTACTTCGCTTATTGATCAAAATTCTTAACCGTTATAACTTTACAACAATTGAATTTCATGGAAATATTTATAGGCGTTGAATAGTTATATAATAAAATTGTACCTTTGATTGCCACACTAAACTGTGTGGATTACAGTGATTCAATTCTTGCATCACTAGTGCAACAGTGGCACCAACTTCAGATGGATATGCATCACCCCTGTTCACAGCCTTAAACGTTCAAAATAAACATACATTGCGTTATTATATATATGAAATATTATTTTTATATGAACAATAAATAACCTTCAATGGTAGAGAATGTGCTGAGAACAATATGAGAACATCATTCCTAATGTCACTGGGGAATTGAACCAATTCTGCTCTAATTCTTTCTGCAAATGTTTTAACTAAAAGTGGATGAGTTGCCCATCGATCAATAATGCTCCATTTCATATTTTTTGGCAATTGCTTTTGTCTGTAATATTTGTATATGGCATTAAAACTTGAACCCGTTGTGGCACAACTATATTGAGGATACTGGGAAAAAATTATAGTGTGTTCAACACCATCCCTGAAAAATAATAAATAATTTAAAATTACTTATTTTATCCCATTGACGGATTAATTAAATTACAGAACTTTAGCTTTATGAATATTTTTTTCTATTTGTTTCTTATGATATTACTCTTCAATTTGTTGTAAGGTATCCTCGGTAAGAGGATCAGTGTATCGAAATGCAACATAATGTTTATGTGGCGCAGTATCAGGAGAAACCTTATCCAATTGTTTGCATAGTAATTCTCCTTGTATATTTGTCCACTTTAAAATAGGAGAACCACCACCAATTTCTGCATACTTTTTCTGCACATCAGGTGTACGTCGTTTAGCAATCCATGGTCCTAACTGACTGTAAATTATGAATACATAAAAGACTATGTATCAATGTTTTATATCACTTTCATAAGCTTATTTATTTAAACTGTATACCTCTGAACTGGCAACTGTATCATGTCTCGGTCAGTCATTATACGTAACAAATATTCTGGTACTTTATCAGTGTTAATTGGACCACCCATATTTAACATTAGTATACCAGTTTTTGGTTTTATATCACTCTGCTGCTTTGGTTCTGCAGTTATTGACATTGACCGTACAAACAATCCTGGCATTTTCATATTTTGCTTACCTTTATAACAGAATAAAACCTATTAATGGTATTCAAACAATTATTAAAAACTTTACAACTTTAAATAGTTCTTTACCTACCTAAATGCAATGCAGTTGATATTTTAATTATACTCATGTTGAAGTTACAGTATTAATGCACTACTAGCACTGAACACACTTTAAAGAAAGATATTAGCTGCTTTCAGCTAGTCACTGACCTCTATTACTTATGTACAGGATGACACGATATTATGCATATAACACTACCTAGGTTTAACGCAGTATGGTATTAAACTAGGTTAGGTAAGGCCGGTAAGGCTACTCAAGAATTACGAAATCTATGGAAACAACAGTTAGGTTAGGTTATGAAGTAACAACATGTTTCAATGTTCAGTGACTAAAGTAACTCTCAATTCCTCGAACTTTCATTAAGCCATTTAAGTACAAGTGCAGTTAATTGTCGTGCTTTAATCGTCGCTATTTGGACCGAGACCATAAATCAAGAATAAAGTAGGACCTGTAAAATTGTATTTAAAGATGACAGAAAATGATTCGCAAGAATTGTACCCATCCGATCTTGGAACCCAGGAGTAGTATGTTTCCTGAAATATTAAACGTTAACATAACATAACATAATGTAATGAAACAATGAAGGTAACATGTTTTTATCATCTTGCAGTTGGGAAAAAACATATGCTCTGGAAATAGCTAACTTTCGAAGTCACGGCGATGTCGGTGAAGTATGGTTTGGTGAGGATAGTGCTCTAAGGATAGTTAGGTAAATACAAGGTGATAGATAAGTATATACATAATTTTAGTAATGTCTAATAATTTCATACTTTTTTTTTCAATTCAACAATTTTACTCCATTGTTAATGGAGAAATCTATATAAAAAATACAGCAGGCCCCATCTCTGTGATCTTCATAAGAACTGTTTTGAAACTAAAATTTTACTCGATATAGAAGATCCCTTCTAAAATAAATTTTGGTGAAATAATTTGAATTAATTATAAAAATAGTATTACATATGCAGATGGATGAGATCGAGGACAGATCTGATCAATCAAAACGACAAAATAATAGACTTAGGCTGTGGAAATGGAATGATGCTGGTGGAACTGGCTGAAGAAGGCTTCAAAAATATGACAGGTGTAGATTATTCTAAAAAAGCTATTGACCTGGCTAGAGGAGTGTTGAAAAATAAAGAACTGTCAAACATCGACCTACAAGTTTGTGACATATTGAGCGAAGATCAATCCAGCTTAACGAGTGACTTCAAAGTAGCGCACGATAAAGGAACTTACGATGCAATAAGTCTCAACCCAGATAATCCAAAAGAAAAACGAGAAAAATACATAAAAAATGTGCACAATATTCTTTTACCAAATGGATTATTCATCTTAACTTCCTGCAATTGGACGGAATCCGAACTTCAGAGTCAATTCAAAGATTGTAAGATCAGTATTCAAGTAAAATATTCAAAAAAATAAGGAATTTATAGATTGATTTTCTAATTTCCTCCGTATGTGCAGATTTCAAAGTGTTACAGATGATACCTACCCCCTCTTTCAAATTCGGCGGAAAAGTCGGCAACACGGTGACGTCAGTGGTTTTCCAAAAAATATAATACACCTACAAATTATGAATATTGATATAATTAATTAATTATGCACTTTTGGCATTTATTACACAATACTTATCGGTGAATCTTTAAGTTTATTTGGTGCACGACATACTAGAGTTATACAAAAGGAAAATATATAATTTGTGAAGATATTAATGTGTCCTATACTTCATAAGCTATAATTTAACATACAAATTTTACAAAATATGTTAAGACTAGAATAAATCCGACGTATCGATGGGGTAGTATGTACTACTTCAAGATATATTTCTCACTAGTGCAGCCACTTTCATACTTTAAGGCATCCTTGGCATATGTGGCAGATTAGCCAGTTGCGAATTGCAATAATAAAGAAGAAAAATCCACGAAGACTAATGCATTCGCGGGGCCAAACTTAATTGCGAATATTCAAACTCACGAGCAGATCTAATATCAGTATTGCTTGACAAGATTCTTTAAAAATTTTATTCCAGATCGATCATAATATTCGAATAAATATGCTACAAAACTATCAATCCAAATCGAAGTTCTGTTATCGATAGAGAAGAAAAATATATAGTTTGACATTTTTTGCAATATTCCTCTGTAAAATCGAACAATATAAACATGCGAATCAAAATATTCTACAAGCTCGTCTCAATCTTAATTCTACTTTGATCTTTCCTCCAATCTATCATTATTTTCTGTATCAACCTACTCAGCTTATAATATATATATTATATGATCGACGAATCCTATTCGCCCATGCGTAAATTACTAAAGCTTATAAATCCTGATACAAGGACGACCGATTAAACGTTCCGTACCACTATACGTTGCAACATTATTAATTGATAAATTTATATAAATATTCATACATTCGATCCCTTCTACCTCATGTATTTTTTTTTTCCACCAAAATTTATCCATAAAATCAAGTGCAACAATTTAATAATTTGATTATAACCCCTATCATACGTTATCCCATAAAATAAACAGAGTCAGTCGAAAACTATCACATAGTACATACATATATGTTCACATGAAACACCCAAAGGCGCTTGTCATAAATACTTCTGAAAGCAGTGCAATTAAAAATTAAATCATCCTAATCAGTGTCATATTAACTAATAACCTCCAACCTCTTCGCATCCCGCTCTTCATATTCTCTTTTATTTCCATCTTCCCTATAGTAATCTCCACTACCACAGCGTTTACGCCGAATTCATAATTTTACTTATCATCACCACGGCCACCAGCGATGTCATCAAGGAGGCTCTGAAGACGGATTCACTGCCTACGTATAATGACAGATATTAGCGCATTAAAATAATATGAAATTTAAAGTTATTATTTTATATCAACATAATTCAATCGAAAATATTACCATTGCACATAAGATCATCTTCCATGTAACCTGGCATACAGTTACAATGTTTCTCCATCGACGTAACGTTATTCTGGACTGACTGCACGCAGTGCGCCCCGTGGCCACATTCCGAATCATCATTGCACAGTGACCGGAGTGCTGAAGTAAAAGAAAAATCATTTGATTATTTCAATTTATCAATTACTAGTATCGTTACTCTCGTAAAAATCCAATCTGTCCATATTTACAAACTATAAACTGAAACTGATCTGTTTCGGTAGTTCTTCGAGGCAACATCAAAATTCGCGATCAATTATAACCCTTACCAAGCATAAGTGACCAAGACGAAGCTTGCGCTTGTTTGCCTGATACACGATTACGGCACAACACTGCTATTTCATAAGATGGCAGGTATTAACGGCTATACTACTATCCATTAAATATACATTCTGTGCAATGCATATGGTAAAGGTTATGTAACAAAAACCCAATCTCCTTATTGCCACATAACATGCGAATCATAATTTCTACATTTTGTTATTCATATTCATTGACCTCTTTACAATAATTCTAGAAAATTCTGTTCTGTCGCCCTCATCTGTATTAATTCACCAATAACAACATTCGTTATTGTTGATGGAATATGATCCAGAAATTTGATTTCCTGTATCTGACAAGTATAAACTTAAGATAAATCTGTGGATATATTGTAGATGTATATACATATATATATGTCCAAAAATAAACAATCGTTAGCCTTTAGCCTTAGACAAGAAGCACAATAGGGTTAGTAGTAAGGGTGTGTGTATTCTTGTTTGAAAATTATTCCATCGTATGGCAAGGAAGGTTAAACCCTCTCTCAACCCCTAAAGACGTTAGTGGTTAGTCAAGGAAGAGAAAAGGGGCAGCTTCGCCACGGGACTTCTGAATTTGCATAGATAACCATATAGAACGCTGTTAGTGCCTCGCGTACATATTACAGAAACTCACGTAAGTTTCTTATACGAAAAGTCAATAGTTAGGACAGTTCTCGAAACGTCTAGAGTTTTATTTTTCATGACAAATTGTATTAGTTTAAACTAGTATTCTTTTTTCCTCGTTGAAAACTATTGATAAGGGAAGCGAACATAAGCCTGTGGCACGGTAAAGCTAGCTCGCACGTAAGAAGAAACTTTTCCGTAAACGTCATTAACAGCTAGTATAGGCTTTGAGTAAAATTCATAGAAATTATATAATGTGGTAAAAAAAAAACAATCTTTTTTCCTAATGTAAAGTAAACGAAAAAATTGTTACGTTTCCATTTAACGTTGCAAATTCCATTCATCGGCACTGATCTATCACTGCAGAGACAACGGCTCTTTCCAACCGTTCGGTCAGAAGTACAAGTGGTGTTCAGAATTCCAGCGCAGTCCGCATCCATTCTGCATTCGCGAGCCTTGCCAACTGTAAAAAAATAATATTCCCACATGTAGATATAAGATACGTTATATTATTATGTCATAGTGTATAATTTTCTGATCACCTGTTTACCAATAAACATCGATTAGCTCGATGCTAGTTTAATGCCTCCAAATTATTGTTATTTAGTTAGCTTTGAAATTGATTTAGTTTAAACATTTTGTTGTATCTCAATTACCACGTAATTCACATATTCCAAAAGCATGAAGGTTGGGTATCGTGACGTAAGTTTAAATACGAAACGATAAATCACATGAGATCATGGATCGTGACAGGACGAAGATCCTTAAGGCCTATCTATACGCACAGTAATTTATAACTGCATTAGATAAGGATTTTACGCGTAGAATAATTGGAGGATGAAAAATAAGGTTTGAAAACCATAAAAAAATTGCATGAAAACTATCAATTTTTGAAAGATCTTGTTTTTACAAAAAAATACAAGCAAATTGCTTACCTTCGTACATAACAAAATTTACTCGTTACGATCATACCGAAAACAGCCATTTTTTTTGCAAACGACACGATATATTAACTGTATAGGCGTTCCCGCATTATTTTTGCAGAATCTCAAATTGGGTTGAAAATTCGTGTGTATTCGGGTCACGGGGTAGAGAGCATAATTATTTAATGTTCATATAATGTAAAATCCTTGTTACACGCGTCTATTAGCATAATACAGGTACACAATATAATTTCTCACCCGCCACGCGATTGTGGCGCTTTCAATTAATTCGTAAATTGTACCCGGGGACGTTTTGAAGTTCCTGAAATTTTCCAAGGCCCAAGTATCTCATGATCCACCCTATTTGAGACTGACACCAGGAAGTCACATAAATTAACAGACTACTGACGGAGGTTGGCTAAATTAATATAATAGGTACTACTTAGGGGTCGTGCGAGTATCTAACCCTTGCGGTATCGTTGAATTATTGCACCACCCTGGTCGACGTTTCAAGCACCTTTCTACAGTTGCACTCTGGGTATTCAGCCAGGACATTAGCATGCATCTACACTTAAAGTGGCCTTGACACTTGGAACATGTACGTTCTATCTATATAGCTATAGCTAAGATCCCCTTGGAAGATACGCAACCTGGTAGCACCATAGCGTCAAGGTGAAAACATTGTATAAGGCGTGACTTCGAATACGTAGGGAGTTGTTTTAATTAGCATTGATAATTAAGATAGCTATAGTAAACCCTTGGAGACGTATGCATAGAGTTGACTTTTTCGCATTAGTCACATACGATATAGATAGAGTAAAAACTTTAGAGGACTTTTGAACCATGTGAAAAGTATCACAGGACTGCTGACCCTGGAATTGATTGTATTGATTAGAGAAAAAAAAAACCTATTCTTATATGATTAAATGGGATATACGTGACAGTTGGTATGCGTGTAAATGTGTGACAGGAATTGGATGAATCCTTTGAAGTATTGATTATTTTTCTCATTAGATACGTAAGGGTTGTTTTTATTTTTTACTTTTTCTTTTTGGACTGATATACAATGCTGTATGTACTTACCGGGAGTTGGTGCGGGTGCTTGATTCGTATTTGTATTCTGTGGATTACTCTTGCCGAAGGTTACCAACGACCAGGCAGGATTAATTGCGATAGCAATCGTGGTGGTCATCACGATAATCTTCATCCCCATCGTTTCCTTCATGGCTCAACGAATTGTATAAATGAAACCTTCTTCTGTATTTCAAATGTACCGTCGAAGCGTTCTATTAAGGGTATGACGTAATTTTAATTTATGTTATACAATTATTTTCCGACTGACGTAAAAGGGCAAAGTCACTTTTAAAAATTGACAGTAATCTTCCCTTCTCTTAATGCATACAATTATCCCGTTTTCGAGCTTCTCGGATAACACGATTTTTTGTAGGTTGTAAAAAAAAATTCTTTTCACGACTCTCACTCAAATCTTTAATGTTCTTGGGTAGTTTGTAGACTGCGTGACGCAAAGACGTTCCATGGCCTTTTAAGCCTTCCAACTACCCCTACCATGTTACTACGTACTACCAACCTCAAGACTGCTAGCACCTTAGCCAACCCAAAACGTGGATAACCTATTCTCGAGAGGAAGCTTATCTAGAGCTACCTAACCTTCGGACGCCTGACGTTAATCAAACTAGAAGCCATTTTCATGGATATCTACATGCAGTATTAACGGAAATTATGCAAGTCTGAAGAATGAGGATGAACCAGGTGCGAAATTCACTTGGCTAGGAGTAAACCATTGGGGGATGAAATATCGGTTTCAGAACCTGATACGATGGTAAGATCATCGCGATGTCCTGGAATTTTATAAGTATATGGAAAATGTTGAATAGTAAAAAAATTAATTAAGAATATAATAATTAATTATTTCAAATGATATTAACTAATATATACCTTGGTGCTCGCACTAAGGACCTTTTGCAGACACCCACCTATATCAATTTCACCCTGAAAATAGGTTACGGGAACAACCCCTTGGTGGCGAGAGTACCTATTATTCTAATCATTGCATTTGTTCCTAATGGAATGGTTGCTGGCACAGACTGCTTGACATTTTCTTCGAGGGTGCGTGCACACTGGGGATTTAGTGTAGGAAATTATTTGTACAGTATAAAATTCGTAGAAAGAAGGCTGTAGTAACAAAAATCAGTTTTAATGATTTACTAAAATGTTTCACATATAAGAGTCTACAGATCAATTTGATTTTTTAAGGGATGAACATCAAGATCACCAACGTACCCTCACACGGGAAACCAGATGCAGATGATGTTTTATGCCAAATGAAAATTCCTTAATTCGACTGTAGGTACTGAAGTCTAAAATTAGTATGGAGCTTCAATTAAAAATTTTGCTCAATTTTGATATTGACTAATATCGGCAAAGCGACTTAAATCTATCCAGCACATTCACATAACCGGTGTCACGTTTTCAAGTAATTACTGATGTGCCAATAATATTTGAAATTTCCAAGGTTTGACCAAAGTCCGTATTTAATTATCATTTGATCTAATTATACTTGTTTGATTCCTCCTAGCAAAATGCTAACAAGTTGCATGCTCTGGTTTATGCATACGAGAAGGACTCATTATTGGGGGCCTAAGGCGAGCACGAAAGCACTTTGGAATTTATTGCATTGTTTCAGCTACTTTATAGCTATTAGAGCTCTAGCGAATTGTGTCTTCTTGTATAGAAACTAGTTTCCATTCTACAGATATTGGATCCGGTTAACATTGGGATGCCTTTAATAAGACGATAGTGCTTTGACGCGATTCGTACGTCAACTCACTTCCACGTATTGACTCCGGTCAACGTTATCATTTGGATGAGATTTTTTAAACGGAGTTTTGTTTACTTAACTCTAGGATATACATTATGTGGCATTCTTAATGCCGGCGATAAAAACAAGATGCATCCACACTTGTGACTTGTAACGAATGCGAATTATCCAACGTTATCGGTTCACCACTGGCATAAATTCAAACGGATTAGCATAAAGTTCAAGGCCTATGCGCAGCAATGCGATTAATACATTAATTGGCTTGAAACATGCCTGCGTTTAATATTTATAAATCGGATTTTCGAAATTATCAATGACTTTTATATGCCGAGTATTTCGTTGTAAAGACATTAATAGAAAAATTATTTTCTATCATTGAATTCGAATTTATTAATATCAATCAATTGATTTACATTTATCCACGACTTTTCTTGTACACTTCATAAATTATCTATCTCAAATAAAATATTTAATCATACATCTTTACCAGGTTTCCATTGGGAATTCTTTCGATATATAATCGTCACTTAATTCATTCATTTTTAAGTAACGTTCGTGAAGCCGATCGATATGCTGCGATAACAATTCCATCCGATTAAAAAATTCCTCTAGATTTGATTCCAAGGATTGGTAATAATTATCGTCGATCTGCGCCAGTTTCTGTAACAGCATCGTTTTTCTCGTTTGTATAGCGTTGTATAATATCTCAGCCGGTTTTTTCTCGATCATCAAACGATTCGTCAAATTATCTATAGACAAAATAATGATCATAATTATTATTTTTTAATACTGAAATATAACACTCTCAGAACTTACCGGGAATTTTTGACGCTACAGATCGTTTCACTTTATGACTTTCCTCCTCCGACTCGTCCCAATGAAGTTCACTTATTTCTGTTATCATACGATTAAGAGCACTGTCTGAAGTGAAATTAGATATATTATCACAAATGTCTGTTACATTCCGTAGCTTTGCCATTTGAATTTTCATAAGCCGTCGGTCCTCGTCGGTAATTCCAGCGACAGGATGCGTTATCGTATATTTTAAAGTAACATTGAGAATCATGCATAATATTTTAAAGTAATTTGATTCTACTTTTTCAGAAAATGACTCCGTGGATAGTGTATCATCATCATGGACCGTGTATAATTTTGAAAATAATTCATCCCATATTTGATCAAAAACGATGTCCTCGTCTGATACTTGCTCTTCGTTGCTCTTAGACGAATCAATCTCAATCGCTGAGGGTGAATATGTCCGATGCGGAATTTCCGAGGTTCGCTTAAAGATCTCCAAAGGATTAATTACTTCATAAATCTCTGTGGACGAAACGGTAGGTTCTTCAGGCGTCTCGAGACTTTTGTCATAAAAATTTTCCTCAGGAACATAATCCTCCTTTTCTTCCTCCTTCATATTCTTTCCTTGAATTTGCTTATTGGACTCTTTCTCCTCATCCGCCATATAGTCGTAGTAGTCCTCGTAATCTTCATACGACTTTGTCTTGTCACTTACGTCATCACCCGAATAATAATTATTTCTTACGACGTAATCATCAGTGAACGAAGAAAGATTCATAAGTTTTTTAAATCCATCAATGTCACCATACGGCTCTGTAGTACTATATTTAGAATCTGATGGATTTTCCGTGACTATTCCCGTTGTGTCTTCGTCAGATTCGCAAGTCCAATTCGAAGTCCCGGTATTGGTATCTGCATCCACAGCATCTTTCGACATTTCGCAATTTTTACTTTTCGGCGGTAGGGAAATGGGATCCAGTTGTTCTATCTCCGCCAAATTCGTGTAATCAGGGTCCAGGGTGTCATTATCGACATAAGTCGAAGTAGGCCGTGTCGCATAATAGACAGATGTTGATTCTAGATTACTCTTGTCCACTTCATCACGTACCTTAATGTCGAATAGTCTTTCTGGGTGAAGTAAATCTAATATTGAAACTGTTACTTTTTCACTGGTCTCTTCAGACGAATCTTCTTCAGGATTGCGCCAAGTAATTTTGTCCGGAGAAATTCCCAAACTTTCTACATTATCAAACGTACCATTGTATTTTGGTGAATGCGTGATCTCGTTAGAATCACTTTCAGAAGTCTCGGTAGAGAAGCTCAAAAATTGATTGGGTATTTTCGCAAATTCTTTCAGGAGCAGTTCTAATGTCATAATATTTTTCTCTGATAATTCCGTTGTTGAAGTCATCATCCTCGTTACTGCTTCATTCTCAGTGTCTTCAATGACTGGTGAAATCGTCGTATAATCATACTCGGATTCATAAAAGATAGTCGCAGAATCGTTCATGCTCTGTAAAAAGTCAATGACGTTATTTTCTGTCCCATTTGTCATTGTCCGCAATTCTTCAGTCGGCTGGACAGCCTTTTCTTCTTCGTCAGCAAAAATCAATGTACCACAGTATCCTTTTCCCGTCTCAACAGTCTTGTAGGAATCCAGTAGCACGTATGCAGTTAGTATTAGAGAAATAATCAGCAGAAGATACATGAGGAACTTGAAGATGCTGCAAAACTTGCCACGCACTTTGGTCTTATTGGAGAATCCATTTTTCTTGTAAAATAAATCTGTTTCTTTAGGCAACCCCAACTCTCCTGTACGGAATATTTGTCATTGTTATCGTAAATCTTAACGTGTAACGAATAATCAAAATTATGTCTTGTTATCGGATTCTTCAAAATTTCACTTACCCTTACTTAGGACACAAGATTCCTTCATGTTGAACGATCACTCGATAACTGCAGAGTCCTCTGCATCGACAACATTTTAATATTCACTTTGACTTCTCTGGGTCAGGCTGGCTTGCCGATAAATGTTATTCTCCGATTTCCCATTATGCTAGGAAGATGGCTGGAGGTCATCTCATATCGTTCTTAGGTCAACGGATGATGCTGCGAGAAGTTGAGCAACATTAGTCACACGGTCAATCTACCAGTAGAGAAAATCAGGATAAATTGGCTAACGCTTTGTTTCTCCGAAGTTTTTAGCTCGACGGTGCTGCCTTTGCCGTGTAATACGTTGCCGCGTCACAGTTTTGCGTCTTACGACAGTAACCGAATAAAAAATGTAAATACCTATGGTAAGCCAAAAATTACAATCTCTTTTCTTCTCTTTTCTACTATGGTCGGAGATATTCGTAATTAATTTTGTAAACCTATATAGTGGGCGACAGCGACTTTCATTAGCTTTACTGGTTGAAAATTCAAGGCTCTTGACTTTTTAATATTATACCTTGATAAGAACACTAAAACGCAAGAATAGACGCTAGATAACAACGCAAGGAAACTTTAAATGTTATTAATCACATTACAAATTAATTCCAACTACAAAGCTAGTCAATTAGTTTTAAATAATATATATCTTACACAGTCTTCTGACGTAATCGTTATTTATTTGTTGCCCTATATCCATAATGGTAATTATCATCGATAGACACTGTTTTATCAGTATGAAAATATGAACAGAAATAATTCACAAAATTATGTAATGCTCAATTGATTTTAAATCGGGATTCAGAGATTTTATATTATTTTTAGAAAATACTCATTTATACGAAAATTAAAATATTTGTGACAGTAGAACGAAAGTGTATGTTCTAACGTCGTGGAAATCAGCAGCTCCTGGTGTAAATATAGTAAAAATCCCCGATATCCTAAAGTGAACATGCTGAGTCTACCAGTGCTTGACAATGATCTCCAGTCAAAGATATCATTGTATAGAATCAAAGATGCATTCATTTACTTAAAAGCAATGAATAGCCAGGAATTTCTCATCTACATCAGATAACGCTTTAAATGACTACGTAAATGAATTGAAGGGTAATAAAAAAAATGATGTACTGGGTTTTCAGTGAAAATTTCAAGTAAAAGATATTAAATTAAAAACAAAACTAAACTTAACAATTATTGCAATAACCAAATGTAATCAATAATATAATTAACCCAAGCGCCAAGCCTGTTATCGAAAGCTTTGTAAATAATGTAGATTAATATGAAATATTATTACGTCACTGCAACTTAACATCTCCAATACCCGTTATGTATGTGAAGAATATCATTGCACTATTTATCAATGCTTAGAATGCAGTTGCATATCATTGTATACAATCGTTATTGTAACCAATTGAATAGTAGGTACTCCAATTTATACGCGATTGCACTGTAAGTATCAGTAATGCACACAATGACATTCTCTAGACAATTATAGTAAACATCATACTCGGTTAGCAGTAAATTTATTTATTATTACTATTTATTAACCTTCCCATTTTTACGAGCAAAAAAGTAATGAAATAAAAATTATAATTACGTCCGGCTTCTCACAATCTAAATTATGCACATAATTTCACGATTCATAAGGATCCGTCGTTGAACCGAGACTCGATTCGCGTTGTCCGTGACATTATCGGTCGTTCCTTCGAACGTACAAGGGTTATTTTCGGTATAGGGGTTGTTAACCTTTAGGAGAACTTTCACTGATTAGATCACGTGTAAAATGTCCTTGACCTCGACAATAAAACAATCTTCAAGCGGAAGTGACGTAAGAACTGAATGCATTAATTAAAACCCCAGTTAGTCCCTCATAAGTCATAGAAATGTCTGGAAAGATCATTCTTTTTCTTTTCTCCATTACACAATGACCGATGACCTTTTTTTCTAACACTTCTATCGGAGGATTCAAGTCATTCGATAAGTAATGACAATAGCTCAGTAGACAGCTGAAAGAGTCTGTCTTGGATAAGATTAGAAAAACGTTAAATGGAAGTGTCAAAGTTATTCGTATCAATCGTTATAGATATATAATCCGATAGCGTTGCAGGTGTCGAAGATTTGTCCGTCGGCTCGGTAATTGTTCTCAGTCTTAATTCAAGCGGAGAACAGTTGATAGGAAAGACTCGCAAGATGCTGCACCTCAGTAATTACCTGGTGTGTCTAGTGATTTTCTTTAGCGTCTCGCTAGTACAGGGTAAGACATGTAAATTTTGTATACTGGTAAAACGACTGTGAGAATATTACGAAAAAAGTAACGATAGTCGAAATAAACGAAGACAAATTCGAACGACACGTAACGGCCGTCATGACTTTTAGGTTACTTTCCATTCTGAATATACAAAACGACCGGCACTCTTCTTACGATAAATCATCCTTCACATTCATAAATTTATCCTATATCCATTCGAATGATATTCGTCAGTTTGTACTAGTTTTCTTATGGGACACGCAAACTGTCTGTTTCGTGCGAGAAATCTCTTCGTGACTAGATTGCTTCTACACGACTACGTCCAGCTATTCTTTGTCACTCAATCTTACCATTCTGACGCAATCGCCGTGCCAACTCCTTGGCGTTTGTCGAAATCCATAAAATATATTTTCATGTCAAATCATAAATCTCTGTTCTTTTAAAGGTTCTCTATGTTCTTGATTTAACGTCCATCACACTTTCTTCGTACATCTGATACTGTATAGTAATGCTTGAAGAACCTTAGAACCGAGTACTCGGTCGGTAATTGCGGGTGGCAGCTTTCGGTCGATAACAGTAGACTCGAGTAAATGTAAAAGGGCAAGAGTATAGAAGGTCGTCTACGTGTGTAATTTCGCCTCTTACACGAAAACGAATCATTGTCCAAGAACATAGCAACATAGTTAACGTTCTCCATAAAAATTGCCATGTTTCTCGTGAGAAAGTATGAAAAAAGTAAATTGCAATCTAGAAAAGTTCATTATCAAATTTCAACGTGGAACTGTCACGATTAATAATGTTAATACGAGTCACGATAGCCTGCCTAAGAAAATACGAGTGCCGGATGATATTCAGAATGTAATAGCGATAAGCATACTTCTCTGGCTTATCGAACGTCTGATAAGAATCATTAATGTTCTTGACGGCTAAGAAAATTGTATCCAGGACGCTGATGTGATAAGACACCTGGGTCTACTTATGTCCATTTTTCATGATCGATAAATATTTAACACGTGTTACAATAAATCATTAACGACTAAGATGTTAGAAATGTCGACATGGATCATTCAACTTTTTCTCTGCTTATCAATTTCGTAACATTTTTTTACATTAGCATCGACCAAGAGCATCGCCGAACAGGATGCGGAAGTTTTTTCAGAAATTGCTCTCAGGGAATCAAACTGGGAATGCAAATCCGACAGTGACTGCAGCGCGACTAATAGCAGCTGCGTAAACGATCGCTGCAGTTGCAATGGTGGTTACATCTTTAATGTGGCCATGACGGCCTGCCTTAAAAGTAATTTTTTTTAACACGATATTATTAAAAATACAAAACTCACTGCCTGTCATGAAATTTTATTATTATTTTTTTTCAACAGTTGCAACTTCATACGGTGACGAATGCGAGGAAACTTTACAATGCACTAATTATCTATTGACCGGTGCAAGTTGCACTGATAATATATGCGTCTGTGGCGATGGCTATCATTATATTCATGGGCGATGTTATGTTACTTCTGGTGAGTTCAATTTAAGTTTCTAACTAGGAGACCCAGTTAAAATTGTGGTTAATGAGATAAATTGTTTGAAAGTTTAAACACCATAAGGATGGGTAGTTTAAAACCTTGTCCGATGCGAAATTACCCCTAGCGTAAAGTACTGGTTTATCGTAGCGGGGTAATTTGACAACACCAATGTAAAGTATAACGTGAAATTATTCCGATAGGGTTTAGATCCCTTTGTAGAAATTCAGCTGCTCTTGAAAAATTACGTTTTTTAATACAAAACTTATATTGTTCTTTAGGCCTTTTTGAGGAATGTGATTCAGACGTTAATTGCTATGTTAATGCCGACATAGAAGCTACTTCTTGTGTCAATGGTACTTGTCAGTGTAGCGATGGCTTTTATCAACGAGAATATCGTACCTGTAGAAGAGGAGGATACGGTAATAATTATGATATTTTTATAAAGTTAAAACATTTACAGTTACATATTACCGAAAATTGATATACTTTTACAGCTGTCGGAGATGATTGTATGATCGATAACGATTGCTTGTTCGAAAACGCCTACTGTAATTCGAGTAACGTTTGTGCTTCGACTAACGCAGTTGCAACATCAACACGACGTCGAAGGAATACTGAATACAAATTAATTACAGCGCGCGACGACGCTGTCACAGGTATAACTATATAGTATCTAAAAAATGTATTGTTAAAAAAATAACTAATTCCTAATGCAAAATTATGTTAGAAAGTAACATTACTGAAATCATAAATCTATTATTGCAATTGATGTTTAATTTATCTATATTTTATCAGATCCGTACTCAAGTTTAAATTAGTTAGTGATAAAGAATGATGAAGATAAAAGGAAATTTTTTTAATATACATAAATTACGATGACCAATAAAATAAACTTATTTTCAAAACAGGTCTAGGCTCCGATTGCACGGAAGATGCGAATTGTACGGCTGTTGTAGAAAATTCAGTTTGTTCATCCGATTCCGTCTGCCAATGTGATATAAAATTTGTAGAGAATAACGGAAGCTGTGTCCCAGGTAAGTCAAATAATTCAAGTATTTCCCCTGTGATGATAAAAACTATGTGCACAATCTAATAATAGAATTCTGATTCTCAGGTATATATGTAGGAGTAGAATGCACCCAGGATGCAGATTGTGCAACTATTGATAACTCACGTTGCGGTATCTCTGGAACTTGCATATGTAAACGCGCCCATTTCGCATCAACGGATTTAACAAGTTGCGTTCCAGGTGAGTGATCCATAAAATTATTGAAAAATAATAGCATTGGCCCGTTTTAACCATAATTCTTCTGTTTTTCTAGAACTGGGAGAGTCTTGTACCAACGATGACACCACGTCCATCGGAAACTCCTTGTGCAGAAACGGAACCTGGAGTTGTATCAGCACCAGTGTTTTTTCAACGGACAATAAATTTTGTCGAAAGAGTAAGTGAATAAGGATGAAACTTATTTATTCGATATACGATATCCTTATTTTATTCTTTCTCATTCAGCAACCAAGAAGTACAGGTGGTCTTGTGTCTACAACGAGCAATGCTATATATTCGGACCAAATGCAGTATGTCAAAATAAAAAATGCCTCTGCGACGAGGATTCTCACTTGGAACAAGACGATGCCTTCTGCTGGCTGAACAAAGGGATTGGCGAAAGTTGCCAGAATGATAAGGATTGCTATATCGAAGGATTCCACGTGGATATATATTGCAGGGATAGTATATGCTCGTGTCCTAATGGTACCCATCTCAGTGCGAATGGCACAGCCTGCATCGACGACGTGGCTGGTACGTTTTAAATAGGATAAATATATGTTAATAATTTTTTTTATTTTTTAAAACAAAATCTTAATTCCTCACAGAACTCGGGGGAGCATGCGAATCCGACAGTGACTGCGCAATTGCCAATTCCGTTTGTTTGGATGCAGCGTGTGCTTGTGCCGAATATCATTACGAAGTGCAGGGTCAATGTGTTGGAGGTAATTATTTATCTCCAATTCAGAGTACCTGCTGTTATTATCTAATACGAGACGTTACTTTATGATCTCCAGGTATAAACGCTACTTGCTCTACCGATGCCGATTGCAATGCTAAAAATTCGGTATGTTCCTCCAACCTGTGCACCTGTAACGACGGCTACGTCATGTACAGCATGGATACCTGTATTGTCGGTAAGATAATGAATATAATTGTATAATCTTAATAATTATTAATTAAAATGAGTTTATTTAATGATATTATCGTTAGTTACAGTGGCGTTAATCATTTTTTGTGAATATTGCTTAGCCGTATAATTTGCTTGCAGTTTCGAATTACGAGGAGGAATGTCAGTATGACATTCAATGTTCCACGTCAATGGATAATACTGTCTGTAGGATAGTCCAAGACTCGGAATCTGATAACGAGACGATAACCGGAACGTGCACCTGCGACACTGATTATCACAACAGATATGGAGCGTGCCTCTCAAAAGCATGTAAGAAAAAAACTTAACATGATATCTACAGCTACAATGTAATTTATTAACGTCAGCCGAATGTCCATTTTTATTACAGTATTAGGAGATAGCTGCACATCTGCTGGTGAATGTTACGTGGATTCTGGTCTGGATGGAGTAGCCTGCCTGAAGGGAGTTTGCAGATGCGGTTGGTCTTATAGGCAACTGGATAAAACAACGTGTATATACAGTAAGGGCATCTGCGAATCGTATCTGAAAGAATGAAGGACCTTTAAACAAAAAACGGAAGTCCTGAAGCGATGAAATTTTTCACGACATTAACCTTCGTGTCGAGTAAAGTGAAATCAAGCGCCATTCTGACCTTTCAGTCAAACAGTGTAAAATTGCGCAAAGCCGTAACGAGTCTTGCAATCTGAAATTGCCGTTCTACAGTCCGCGTGCAATTTCTGTCTAAAATGCAATTCCTATGATGGTCGTTATCGATAAGGGAAGAGAAGGTGGCCGCAGCTGGGTTACGGGGATTGAAAGCTCTGCGTGTTTTGCAAGGGTCCATTACCGGACCGTGTCGATCGCTCGTTATCGAACTTCGAGGTCGATCGAATAGCTGTCTGTGTTTACTTCAGTTAAATAACATTAATTCATCGACTGTCGATATTTTTCTTAATACAGTAGACTCTTAGTAACCCTTTATTTTCGGGACTGTCGTTTTTAGAGTAACATGATTTATTCGGTCTCCTTGCTGTGCCAAAGTAGTCACGCACAATGATCCAACTCGATCAATGGATACGAATCTTTAAAGCTGGAAGGAAATCTATACTTAGTTATTACTAAATGACGTTGGTTAAAAATACTGCGCATCCGCCACGCGCATATTGGTAGGAGAGTGGGGGAAAAGCACTAGCGTCGATTTAAGGGGAAATCAAGTGAGCAGTTAACGAGACACAGAGTTACCGAGAATCTACTGTAATCGTAATTGCGCACGACGCTCATTATTCCACTGACCTCCTAAAGGTCTTAATTTTTTTTTTTTTGATACACTTTTCATTAACATTTATTCGTTTTATGCTTGATCGCGTAGCTAATTATTGCCCTTTTTTTCAATTTCAGGCGACGCCAGCACACTGTTTTTATCAACATCGCTTGGACTGACGATTCTACTTATGAAATTTGTATTCTAACATATTACACGTAAGACTCGAAGATTCTTATTATCTAAGAATCACAGTGTACAGGACTTTTTTTATATAAAAAAAAAAGATACACTCTCGTGCTAAGGTCGATGAAATATTTTCATTGGATTATGTATCTACCAATTTTTTTATTTTCCTTTGATACTCACTACGGGTTTGGTACAAGGTTTTTTATTTGCAATTGATTAATCACGATATTATTTATAGAAAATTTTGTTTTTCCGTAGTGCTATTCGATTTATCGTATAACGACTAAAGATCCACAGGCTGTAGCTATTTATACACAGTCAACGCGTGGCCGCAGAAGAGCCGACATGGCGAAGCCAGTTTATCTTGATCGAAGACAAATTGGAGGTTCGGGCAAACTGGGTTATTTCGGAACTCTGCATTAATACAGATTTAGTTCGTAGCTCAATCTTCCCCTAATAAATCAGAAACTACGCTCCCCTGTGTAATAATCACATCGCAATAATAACTTCTGGCGATCGATCCTCGACAGGAATGCAAAATTGATGGCAATCAAATTTAATGACAAGTTGCAATCCTTAAAAAACGTAGATACCGAAAACACGTGTGTACTCTTTGAACCCTATGTAAATTCGTCTCTAAGAATGACAAACGATTGACAGCTAAAATATCAATTAATAATTTTTAATCTTACGTAATGCTATTTTAGATCTCATTAATACCGACCGATCGCCGATTAAAAATTCTGTTTCTAATTTCGATCGATAGATCTTCAATGGATTTAAGGTGAAAATAAAAATCAATGAAAGAAATATAAAAGAATCCCTCACTTATTCAGTACCCCAAGTTTGCTCCGTTATCGATTCAAAATATTCGACACGCAATGCGTGCGTCCTACCATTCAGGCAGTTTTCACTGTGCTATCGTTACGACGTTCAGGTAGCGACGTCGTCCACCTAGAACAACTGAAACTGCCGTTAATGGCTTTTGGTGACGTTGTTGAGCGGCCGAGGACGTGATACCGATTACGTCACACCGTCAAACCCCAAGAGGTCAAGGCATTTCTAAACTATAGATCGTTCTGCTACTCAGTCACTGCGGTCGAAACGATTCGTCCATTACGTTTCTCAAATGAATGTGGTCACCTTTTAATGCCTTTGGTTGTCACAAATTACGGATATGATCTAATGCGAAAAAATTACTTAATCTCGTACGTAATCCGAACGCTTATCAAAAAAGGCAATCGTACTCTGACATATAAGCATAGGACCCAAAACTCAAACCATAACACGAAACGACTTGATGATTATCTAAATCTAATATAGAGTTTTAGAAAAGGATTAAAAAAATTTTTTTTATTTTTTACATAATATACCCAAAATTCTTATCGCAGCTATTAGCCATGTCTTGTAAAGAGGATCGAAGACCTGACTGACAGAATGGGTTCGCGATGGGCGAATGAACGCTCGACTAGTTACTTCGTTATTTGTAAATGGGCACCAAGAGGCAGATGCAAAAGGTCACACGCCAACCAGATGGACAGCCGATAGAAGCTCGACCTAGCTTCTTTCTATTATAAATGGGTTAGACTCTGCTCAGCTCGAAAGGAAGTGACGTTATCTGACTTCGCACGAAGTACAAGCTTTGCTTCGATAGTGACGGAAATCAGTCTCTTTTTTTTACCACGCATCTGGTACCATTGAACTGTAGTCCTGTGTATTCGTACGCCATACGTATAATAACTGAAGATACAAAATTGAAGGATGAAAGTTTTTGTGAAAATCAACACGTATTATTTTTTAGTAAATGTTCACTAGTTACATATGACTCTAATAATTAATTCAATGTACTCTATGCTTACTAGAGTACTAAAAGCAAATAATGGAACAAGCTGCAAGCGATTTGCTTGCGGTGGACATACATATTGCATCGCGTGTCCGACATTGCTTCTTTGATATGTATTGTAATATTAAGCAACGTCCAACCAGCGGCCAAGGACAAACTTCGCAATTTGGCATCCTGAACAATTCTTTTGGACTCAACTGGCATTGGTATTCTGGAAACTTACCGTATAACCAGATTGACCCCAGGTGGGACGGTTCGACTAAAAGGTGACTTGCGTGTGTAGAAGTTTATAGTACTGTAGCTGTGAGCTTTTTTAGTCATTTAATACGAAAGGTCCATAATACGCTATACGTTATATTCGTTCAATAGAATATATAGGGTATAGATAAATATTTCCTATGACATCTGTAGCTATTGAAATTTTGCCGAACGACTGTGTACTATTGCTCCGTGAAAAGGTCCTACGCACACCGAAATCCCGTTAATCAATGTAAGTTTTATTTTTAATTTATTCTTAGCTCCACCCACGCAGGAAACTACCCTTACGGCATTCGAGTCTCATTTAAATTAATTTGCTATGCAAAGCACGAGTATTTCCTACCTCTGTGAATTTACTGTCATTATACAGTTCATAATAGACCACGTGCCCATGGGAATAAATTTTATTTTGAATTTTCATGACTTCCTTATCATTATTCCTTTTTTACACACTTTTCCTTTAAACTTTCATTCGGCTCTATTCTTATGCGTCAATTTTCTTTTATGTTCGAATTTAAACAATGGGTTTCAATTATTTCACGTACCGCCACTGTTTATCGCCATTGTTCAGAAAGCGAGAAAGTTTTAAGGTTATACGTATCCCTGACTATGTCGCGAAGGTGTTCAGGGTGCTAACTTAGTCTACGATGTGATGCCGACATGCAAAACCTAATTGAAGAATCGATATCGCGGCATATTTTACGAGTAATTTACTTAAAAACGAGGTCATCTTATAACCCAGTACTGCATGTGTCGTTGGGGTTGTCCGAATAGTAGGGTTTCTTACCACATATGTTAGAGGGTAGTTTTAGCATTGATCCTGCCATCTAGCGGATCTTACAAAATTACGCAATTCCTTTGACTTACCAGTAAAGCATATCGCTGTATAAATTTATAAGATAGAATTACATGAAAATACACACCACTTGTCATCATTAATTATTTGATATATTATATTTGATTAATATAGTCATCATTAATTGTCTAATACATTATTTTAAAATTTTTATACTTATCAGTACAATGGATATTATACCGACTGTTACAACTGCAGGTCGAGGATCCAAGGAGCTGTTAAAAAAATATTTTAGTCAATGTCCAATTTATGAAAGGTTAATTTATCCAAAAATATATTATAAACCATACGATTATGTGAATAATTAAAATTGTTATTAAACGTTATTAACCAAAATCAATGTCATATAAAATTTAGCTACTGGTGACTCTTTCACGAGAGGTTAATATCAGCAGCAATGTATCCACCATGCGTCTGCCGAGTAACAAGTAGTATAATAAAACACGGTCTGGCACAGCTTGGCAAAGATCCAAAAGTGCTTCTTCCAACAGTCGAGTTTAGCTTCTATCCAATTTACCAGACAGTACAGGTAATTAGCATTCATCACTATGGAGACATTAAAAGAAGATTCTTGAAAAAAAAAACAAGCATTTGAAATTTCCCTCGCATCTGTAAAGAGTCAGGAACGTCGCGAGTGTCGCATCTGGTCAATATCGTACCTAGTGCAACTGGTACCCCGTCCCATAGCCTAAACAGCTCATTACACCTTAGTTAGAGTTCCGATAACGAAGCCACCCCTAGTTTAGCAACTAGTTACGCTTGTCTAACGTATTATTAAGGGTTGGTTTGCGGCTCAGAACTTATCCGACCAGCACGAGAGCGAGAGAAAGAGAGATTTAGTCAAGATGGTTGGCTGGTCGGGGATGCGTAAAAGGGGATACAGGTTACAGCAGCCGACGCTGTTATCGACCAGTTGCACACGTACGCGTTCGCTACGTCTGCACACATAATTTCTAAAATAACGAAAAATCCTTTTTTTTATATTTGTGAAAAAGGCATTGCTTTGTTTCTAAATTGACGCACTTAGTCACGGTTCAATGTTACTATGGTAACCAATTATTTCGTATTATACAGTAATTATTGAATATTCTCGATCTCAACAGTTACAACTATATATATACCACGTATAAGTACTGTACGAAAACTGGGTTATATGGCGTTATGTATAAAGAAAAGAAGCAGCATTATACGAATGTTGAATTCAGGCCGGTTGTACAGGAAGTGAAAAAAGATACGAGCCGTTGAGCTGCAATCTACATGGATTACCGAGTTCAAAAGGCTTAATGCACAAAGGGTGGCTCGATGGATGGACCAAGGGATATGGAAAAGTTCAGGATGTCACCTAGTCAGTCAAGAGAGAGCGTGGGATCTAGTACACGATTAAAAAGTGTCATTTCGATTCTCTGTGTTCGTCGTGCAAATGAAGACACGTCATTTATATAGGATTTGAATATCCCGCGCATTATCTAGTCCACAGTCGAATGGGAGGAAAAGAAGTCAATGCGAGCTACAAGTGCAGGCTTTTCGCATCGGTGTCAAATATTTCTTCTTCTAACATAAGTCGGAATTGTCCTACTTTCCGGGTCTCTGGTAGCGCCACCTGAATTTCTAGATCGTCAATTCTAGCCGTTGGACACGATCTTAAAATTCTCTTGGGACAGTAAACGTCAGGCAGGAAACCAACTTGACGTTTACTACCCTCCGCTAATGTCACCAACGTCAAGAACTCGAATTACGACCATCTAGGCTGGTATAAATAGCTTCCGTCTGAACACGTTGTACGAGGACGAATTGTTACTCCGGAGCACAGGAGAAAATAGAAGCCGGATAGGCATTTCCCTGACCATCCCCAATTCCTTCGAGTGGATACAGACAGGAACAAGCACACGGCCAGTAGTACAGGAGAAGTTCGGATTGGCGAAAACGAAGTGGTCTCGGCTCAACGGGAAACATGCCACGAATTTCTAAGGTATCCATTGGGATATGGAGAAATGGTCAAATGATACCCGAATGCGCCCGCTATATATTTTCTATTTCTACCGAGGCGACGTGACACCTGAGCAAAATGTTCTTGCAATATCGAGCTGGCCTAAAAGCATATAGATAAAAGTGCTGCGACGAGAATGCACCAGAGGTGCATTTTAAATGAAAAATTTACGTGACGAATTCGGTTAATCGATTTGAATTGTATTTTTTTTTGTACGTTATTTTTTCATTTATCAAGTTGGTATTTTTTTTTAAGACAATTAAAAGTTACCCAGACATTTTTATATTTTGATACTAAGACTTTTATTTATTAATCTACATACAATTTTTCAATTATATTTTACAACTTATATAAGTTGATGCTCCAGCGTTGATGGATGTTGATCGTGTTTCAAGTGTTTCTATTGGCTTTTGCATCGGACTTTTATATTATTTCAATTCGTGGTCCATTTTAAGATTCCAGGTCGTCATCAGCATCCAAAATAAATCTGAACAAAGATTCATATTTGGCTCTGTGGTATTTACACGTATCACTGCACATGTCCCGCATGCGGATCATCCGATGAAGAGTCCGGATGGTACGATACAAAGTATGCTACACTCCAGATGATAAACGAAACGATCAAGATGGACCACGTAGTAGTGTTGAATTTATTCCAGCCAAAAACTACTTGGCTCATACTCTTCTTAGACGGACATTCTGTGTTATTGCAGCAAATAGCCTGGTTGCTTCTGAATTCGGACATCTTGATCAAGCCGAGTAATCAAGCAGTCAAGCAGACCAGTGACACTTTTGATTCTTGATAATAAATGACCAGCTAGAAACTGTAGCTCGATTTTATATGTTTCTATCGCAATAATAATAATAATCAGAGTGTATAAAACTTACACGATAAGATATCCTTATCATATTTTCATATCGATCGATAAAACCACGATCTATCTCTAATTACACCACCTGGTGATAAGTGATACCCATTGACACGACATAATTACCTATATTCGTAATAAGTTCTTGATCTTCCACTTTTAATGTACAAAGTAGTTACAGATTGCGCAATGAATTTTTAATTAATTTTAATTATAAATTTGAAGAACCCTGCTGGCATCTTTTTTTACGTATGCAATTAAATAACCAAATGCGAAATCTTATGAAAAAATACGCCAAATGACTTTTTTGTGTGCATTATGCTATCTATGATTAGAAAGTTAGATAAATTTGTTCGGGTATTAATATCTCAATCATATTTAAATATCAGATACTATTAGTAAAAATGTGATATTTTTACTTTGTGTGTATCTACTTGACTATTCTTTCATAATAGGAATAGGGATCATAATAAAAAAAATATATAAAAAATTTTTTTAGATGCCGAAAAAATCATTTATTCAAAATCATTAAGGTCGGTAATTCACGCACGTGGTCTAACTATCGTGCAGATGAGAAACGTGTCGAGTTGACGTGTTTCAGATCTTCGTCATTAAGTGTTTCTTTTGGCTAGTTAACCCCTCACGTCCCCGTAGCATAATCGACAAGACAGTACGTGAATTACTAAATAAAATGATAAAAGGAAATTTTGTCGCTAAAGATTCGTAGAAATATCATTTGGCCTGGGTCGTTTCCGTGTAAAGCAGTCCTTTGTCAAATTTGCATTTTTTGACAATGATTTCCATCTGTACTTAATGACAGCATTCGTTCATCTCGTTGTTAGATTTGCTCCAGCCAAACAAAAAGTATCCACATCCAGTACCAGCGATCAGGGCAATGCATAGCCATACGTTGTAAGTCATGAAGATGAGCATAAGGAAATAACTGATGACCAATTGAATCATGTGGAGAAGTGTTTGCAAAATATGAACGCTGGAGCATAAGGCCGAACTAAAACGTACCAGGAATAAATTTCAATAAAATATGTTAATTAAGGTAATAATTTTTTTTCTACCCTACACAATATTATATTACACTATAAAAACGATTATAATATACTGCAATAGTTTACCTAGCTGGTATCTTAGCTTTTCTCAAACACACTGAATTGGCGTATAGGTGTTCCCTGGAATTGTCGATAGCAATTATTTTTATTTATTACATGATTCTGGAATCAATGGCATAGTTGCCATTTGTTACCTGTAATTTTTTAAGCCTTCGTAAATAGCTGCCATCAAAGCAATCCCCACCATCGAACCAATTATTCCCGTCCAATCTGATGTCACCCAACCTTTGAACAGTATGGTCTCACTGAGACCAGTGTGAAATGCCATCTGCAAGCGAAATATATATATATTTTTGTAACTAATAATCAGGCGATCAATTAAATCGGAAATGAAATGTTAAATTGGAAATTAAATTTATGTCTTTTGACAAAAAAGAAAAATTGATACTGATTCTACCTTTTTTTTCATTACTTACTATATTATTTGCAACGGGAGACTAAATATATGTACAGTTTTTGGCTAGTAAATAATATCAGTTTAGAATCCATATCTAGCTATGGACGTTTTGTATCATGTTCGACAAAGTGCAACGCATATTAGCGTGCAGAGACCTATAGAAACTTTATCTAATATATTTCCTGTGCTTATTTGCATAGAACTATACATATACGTTGTGTCGATACTATAATACTGAAAGCTTTATTACGATTGTGTTACATAAATAAATTTTGGAATGAAAATTAATATTAATTATGCCACAACACGTTGAATGAGATTTAAAATTAAAATATTTATTTTTGGGAAAAAATCAATGTAACGATTTTGACTGTTTGTACGAATAGTAGATAAACGCATTGAAAATATGACACAAGGAGAGCTGGGACTGATTGGACTTTTAGTCTTTTAGAATTAAGCATACGGATTGCATTAACTATACATTGTTTTGGTATTGATTTATATGTTTTTCTAATTTTTTATTGTGCCCATGTCCGTACTTACATTCATCATGGTGAGAGTTTTTCTCGTGGAATTTAATATAATGGCACGACTGACGATGAAGATGTGAAGAAGTTACTTTCTTGGTGAATGATGATTCTTCTTATCACTTTATTAGATAAGTTATCGATCCGTACAATATCATACAAATCATGAAGTGGGGCTATGCCGATCTCGATTAATGAAACTCTTGAATCTTTTAATCTGTAGACCAAAGACCTAACGTATTTGTTGTGCTTGCGAAACTTGCGGGGGATAGATTGCAATTATCGTTATAATCGAAATATTATATATATATATATATATCGAAAATTTGTTAATAAAATAATTCCTTGGTCGGCCGATCAAAGGATGCTCTAATAATATCATTCTGAGTATAGCAATGTCGACACTTGCTTGTGTCTCGAAATGGAAAAAATAAAAGCCCCAAATATTACGGTTCTTTAGCCGTACAATATCGACCGAACCAACTACTTTATCGCAGGGTGAACTAGGACCAACCCCAAAATTTTTTCCACTCTCACCCTACTCCCCATCTAGCGGATCTAGCATAAATCAATTACCATAAGCCTAGGGAGTCAAAAATGCTATGAGAAAATCAGTCTGTATGAAATAAAAAATTCCGATAAAATTTCCTTAGAAAGTTTCGAAAAATAAAATTACATACAAAATTTTTAATTATTATTATCCTCATATTCCTTGTCTCCGATGCGAAGTGGTAATTGTTGAAGAGTCAAACCGTGCCATAAGGTGTTGGAAATAGCAAGTAGACGAAGTAACGAATGTCGACTGCTGAAGAGTCTTGTCTTTCGTTTCGACTCCAGATCCTTGAAGGTTTTTAATTCACTCTTCGCTCCACGTCTTCAACCCCTATCTTCAGCCCCGCCAATTCTCATCCCCTGCCTGCGTGAACGGGGCGAGCGCAACCTGTGGCTGCCTTTGACCGACGCGCCTCCCTGTACCCAGAAATTCACCACGTTCAATTCTCAAACTCAGTTCCACTCTCACCGCCCGACCGTTTACGTCGTTCCTCGTCAGCACTACGTGACAATTCTTTTCTGGCATTTTCATCCATTCTCATTTCTTAGATCCTCGTAGAAGCGAATACCTCGAGTATTGAGCGCTGGTGAAAAACGAACGTTGAACGTAGATCAATAAGCTAGACGTAAATCGAAAAAAAAATTCTAAACGTGCTTGTAGTGCTACTCGAGTGACTATGGATATGCCTTCGATACGTTAATGATAAATTATAAATAGTTAATTAAATTTATAAATATTCTGACATCCCCACTGGCTGACTGTTCTAAACCATATTATATTATCTCCATCGCCATGCTGGTAGGTAAAATTATACTTTGTTTCAATATCATGTTCGTTCTTTTTATTACTTTGTAATGATAATTTATTTTTTAAATGATTTTTATTTTATTTATACAATCAACTCTGAAATTTATTTTTACAGTACAGTGTCAGTTTTATAGAGTACGAAATTGCGGACTTTTATAGTTAGTATTTGACTGGGTACAATTGAGGGTGGATTTTTTAAATTGATATTTGTACTGTCCAATCAATCGTAATGAGAATTGACATATCGATCTGTTAGTAAAGTGCTAATAGATGATTGTTTAATGACAGAACAATTATGTATATATATTATAATAATAATAATAATTTTCTATCTCGACCTAAGGTATCGTTAGTCATACTAATCATTTTACGCCACACGTAATTCCTATAAAAATAATATACACAATTTTCACTGTAAAGTTGACAGTAACATTTTTAATTAATTGATATTTCCTAACTTTTCTCTATTTATTTTCCAAGAGTACATCCTGCACTGAACGGAAATTCACGAAGTCTCAGTCAAAAGCCTCCAGTTCGCAATTACAGACGAGCGTGCGATCGTTTCCGCGTCGCGAAAATCGTCGGTAATTATTGGCGTAGCAAGAGCGCAAAATCACATGAAGATTGCGTGAGAGATTCTGTTAAATGCAGTCTCCAGCAACCGCGTGTGTAATTACGTTACAGACAATGACGAGGTCTTGAAAAGCATTCAGCTTCGTGCAGATAAAAACCAAAATTGAAATAAATTTCTGCAATTCCCATATTACCTAGTTTGCAAGAAAATGCAATGTGAATCTGAAAATAGGTAATTCTACATAAAAAAAAAAATAATATATCTAAATCAGGAAAATGGGATAATTTATTTACAATTGATCTTATACGATATCAAATAATCTTTACCTTTGTCTAACTACATAGGTAACATATCCACTGTAATATTACTAGACAGTTTTACCGGATCAAAGAAACTCGAGCTTATTCCATCTCATCTGTACAAATCATATCGTCGGTATCCTTACGCAAGGATGTTTAATTCATCGGAAGAAATGGAGAAGCAAGTCAGGGAAAAAATGTATAATTCAACATTAGGGAAAAGCATATGTCCGCGTGAATCTAGTTATAAGCAGAGTCTACCTAGAATAGACAATGTGTATTGGAACATATAGAAAATGATACAATTTCTTACTGAGGAATATAATCATATGCATCAGGTATATCTTAACAAATAAGTCTTTGAATATTTTTTGGAATTTTAACATTGCCCATATATAACTGTCAATTTTTATGTACTTTCCAGGTACCTGCTACGTATTATTACGTAGTACTACGTAGTATTACAAGAGACATTTATTATCCAAGTAAAATATATTTCTAAGTCTATTGGGTGGGAGTAAAGGTGAAGATAGTAGATTGAAGATAATTAAAATTATCTGTTACCGATGAGATACCCACATGAAAGATCTTCGGCGATGTCGTCCCCGTCGTAATTTTCACGCGATTCAGAGTAGGACGACCGATAAATAATATCTGGAACTATGGTTAATCTTGGGCAATCGGCCATTGGCGATATTATTGGTGATGCCTGATGCGTATCTTCTCGTGGGTGTCAGCGAATGATATATGCGTCTGGGTAGCAGGGTCCATGGCACAGTCTCTCATCCCGCGAGACACGATAAATCCCAATTATAAATTTACTCCCGATATAAATAGGGAAGAATATGCGTAGAACGCAGCACACGCGATACGCCGGAGTTTCGTATTTTTCTTCTTCCTTTAGTTTTAGTCGATGGCACTACACGCCCGATAGTGTATCCTTTACAAACAGCCATAGGGCTTTGTCTTTTTCTATTGGCTTCCACAGGCACGTGTGATCTAAGCTGGGTTAGTTAGGTTCTTTACTCCCAATACGCGATTAGCTAATTATATATAGGGTGAACGCTGGTACTATTAGATCGAAAATAGTTGGACCAACATCCCTATACGTTTTCGACGATCGATTCGTATCCACGGCCCCCTGTCCCTGCCTTTGAGACCCCAGGGAATAATATTACCGAGACAGAGGGGGTGCACTCTAAATTAAAGGGGATGATTTCTCTGGCGAATAAAGCCTACCAGACCCATGTACATGGACCGAGAACAGATGCAAAGACACTTTTGTATATTTTTCTTTATTTTCTTCCTTAGACTTTTCTTTCGATATCATTGTTAATGCTCTGAACTGATCTTTGCTAAAAAAAATTTCGGTTGTACTAAGTATTAAAAATGGGCATTTTTTTATATTGGGAGGGGGGGTGGGGGATGATTTTTTAAAAGCGTTTCTCCCACACTTGATATCCAAAGGCTTTTACGTGGATGGGCAACGACCTTCAACCTTAAGTCATGCTTTTACGCGCAATTAGCTCGAGGTCTGACGTTAATGGGATGTAAAAAGTTTTCTAGTCTAAAATAATTTTTGAAATTCGATATTACATGTATACTATTTGATTTGAGCTACAGTGATTGGAGAGAGAGCAAATTTTTCGTACAAGTTCGCATACATAGGAAAATATAACCTCGTTTCTTTCTTTTAGATCGAAACGTTATTTCCATCGAGTTTCCGCAATAAAGTTTTCGGTAACGAATGAGGTTTGGCTTGCATTGAGACATTCGCGCCTAATGAGCTGACCATTTTCACTTCGTTTTTACTTCATTCTGCTGATTCAATTAGTCTCCGCGTTGCTTCGCCAGACTCGTTTTAAAAATTCCGAAAATAGCACACTTTTATTTTACCTCGTTTTCCAGTATAATTTAACACTTTTTTTTTTCATTTACTCTTAAGCATGTTATACGTAAAATTCATATAAATACGAAGTAAACGACCTTTGTATCACGCTGCCAATATTTAAAACTTATATAATACTATACTCTTATATAATACTCACCTTTATGTAAAACTATGTATATTTTTTTATCAAGATCACATAACGAAGCAATCAAGAGATAAAATTCCTTAAAAAAAAACTTATATCGGTATCTCATCCGAAGTATTCTATTGTTACAGTATGCCTTAGAATTCGTATTTTTCCTTCCATTTTTAATCGAGAAAATTGACATGAACAAAAACCAGAGGCTCTATATACCTGAATATTTTTCGTTGAACCACTACACGTTATATGTATATATATATATATATATATATATTCAAGTCATTCAATTATCCAACAAGAGCTCTCCTTTAATTACGACATTAAATTAATTTCTATATGACTTAATATACCCTTTCGTTTTCGTTGAACCACTACACGTTATATGTATATATATATATATATATATATTCAAGTCATTCAATTATCCAACAAGAGCTCTCCTTTAATTACGACATTAAATTAATTTCTATATGACTTAATATACCCTTTCGTTGATTCCAGGTATAACGGGTGACCGAAAACGACGCAATGATCCGCATCAATGGCAAATAGACTCACGGCGTAGTTCAAATGTTAGTAATCCAAGCTTAAATTCCTGATCGAATACAAAAAATTTAATAAATCATAAAATAAATCCATCCATCGGCAATGCGTCAAGTAAAATGGATGCGACACTCCACGTGTCCACGACAGTCCACGTGTATAGACTGAAATACTAATTGAACAAGACTTCGTCATCTCTTAAAAAAATATATATATATATAAAAACGTAACCGGAGAAGAGGAAACATCACATATCACTAAAATGATTGATCCGACGTCGTTCATAGACGCAATTAATTGTCGCGATATTCCACCACGAGTGGTAACCCTATGGTAATATAATTAACGTAACATCGCACTCGCAACCTACATACGTGCGGCGAACTGAAGAAAAAAAAAGCACTACTCGACTCGGGCGTCGCCATCTTTTTTATACTCCAAGCTTTCTCTACGCGTCGTAAATTTCTACCAAAAGACTTTACCGCGCGATGGCTATAGCCATTTTTACTGATATAAAAAATTGGGACCAAATCTGCCGCGTGCTTTTGAAAGTACTAATCTAGCAAGTTTTCGCCGATATAAAGGAAGCAGGGTTAGGTGGATAATCCGCTGTGGCCAGTCTAGTTTTAAATCTACGGATACCAAGAGGAATAAGAAGGGATTTTATTAAGACACGAGACTCTGTAAAGCTTCTTGTCGTAATCGAATACATTCTTGCTAAAGAAGTTTCCAGCAAGATATCACATTGCGATCGATGCACTTTTCTCATCATTTGTATATGTGTATATATATATATATTGTCTATATATAAATATATATTTTAAAAATATACAGGTATATATATATATATATATATGAAAATATATATATGTCGCGAGTATGTGGTACGATTGCACATAAATGAGCGAGAGCAAATCAAATAAGAGCATAGCGTAGCGACGATATTCGAAATGGGAGAGAGACTTACGCGACGTTGAATCCTTTGAACAAGAGGAACATACCGGGTGACATATTCTTTCTGCAAGGAATAAATTTAAAAACGTGCGACGACTTGGACGACTAGTGCGGCTGTCAATGGGAATTACGTTGAGCGGTTCGCGGGTGAATTTGAAATTTAAAGAAACGCCCGTGTCCCGTTGTATTATTGTTATTCAGTTTATTTATTTTCGTGTGAAGCACAACGAGCGTTGATACCAAAGTAAAATGCCGCAGCCTGCGTCTACGAGGGAGAGCAGCAGCGAGATAATCCGGATGGAGCCGCTGGGCAAAACTTCCAGTTCACGAAGTCCTGGATTGAACGGCAATGCCAATACGGAAATAGCTGGAAATTCAGGTAACTTTATTTCCTGAAATAATTGTTCTAAGACATGATAGGATATAGAATGTTTTTAACATACGTGTGACATACGTGATGAGGGAGCCGACTTTTATGTGAAAATCAAAATAGCTGCTGTCGTGACTTCTTTTGGAAGTATCTGAAATATGTTTTCTGTCCTTAAAGGGAACAAGTGTTTGGGGGGATGATGGTTTGACAGGCGCATAAATTTTATTGTTGAATCTTTCAACTATCGATTTTGCACCTTAGCAACGGGCAACGATTTCTAATCAAATTTATTGGTCTGGGTCGGAGAGAATAAATGTGCGCGTAACTCGTGGCTGAAAACGAAATATTCGAATAATTCATTGTTGGGTAGGGAAACTAACCCGCAAAGGTCAACCAGCCATCTGAAAGTGAATCGCTTGCCGAAACAGTGAGGTCACAAGTTCAAAAGTTCAATCGCCTTTGAACGACCCCATTCCATAACTATTGAAGCGAATTAGAATCTACTTCCGGTTCTCGTTGACTTAAACGTATAGACGAGAAAAAAAGAAACAGGAAGATTCACCTGAAATTTATTCAAATTCAATTGAACTATGCTGAGTTTTGGTCTATTGTTCTTTTCCCTTTAATATTGGTATAGACAAAATTGCCAAAGTATTTCTATAGAGAAGATATCGAAGGGTAATTTATTGACTTCTGCCATTAAACCCATGTCAGTCGGTGGTACGTACATGAGATAGGTAAAGGTGAGATCTGAAATTTTAAGGCCTCCTTAGTTCGTCCATAGTTAATGCTTGCTTATTTATGTATAACGCGTACTTCACGTGGCTGTAAGACTTAAAAATAGAGCATGTATTAGTTTTCTCCATGGCAACCATGGCGCATATAAATTGAAAAAAAAAGGAAATTTATTTGAATAATTTGAATCACGAAATATTATGGCTCCCAAGTTCATATGGAGAACGTACAAAATTTTATAGAGGATTTTTCTATAACACCTCTGATTTTCCAATATTATCTCGTATATCGTGACATATAATGGACGTCGAATTTGTGAAAGTATTCCCAGATATTTACATTGTGATATAATATCCAAGACGCCATTACTATCTAAAGGGACAGGGGTCGTCGTCTTTTTGAGAAACGGAAGTGTTAAGCCATTCTGAAATGCTATTGTCGTCAGTCTACCCGCGTTTTTGTTCGTTCAGGTTATTGAACTTGAGGCCGAGCGCAAAGTCTTTCGCGTGCGTCTCTTATTCAAAGAATTAAACATTAGAGTGAAGTTGGTAGCTATAAAAATTTGCCACGCTTTTAAATACAGAGACGACACTTCGGCTCGAACAAGTCTTAATGAATGATAAAGTAAGAATCCAAGCGAGTGATCAAAGTACAGCGAATGTAACGCGAAGGGTAGACAGTACGAATAACGATGGATTGAGAATGACTCAAATAGCGGGAGTAGCGAATAGAACACCCCCGATGAACGCCGATCGATTCGTGATTCATGTTTCGCGCGCCGACTTCCCTTAAAGGGTGACGAGAGATCCCGGAGCACAATTTCTTCCGCGAAGGGCGCATGTATGGAGACGATGAACAGAGATTGTGGGGTTGAATCCAAATGGCATCCCTCAAGGTCAGGAAGCTCTTTCATGGCGTGTGTTGAAACTTAAGCACGTACCTACTCTCCAGCAGTCCTCGACTCTAGGAGTCAATAAGGGTTAGAAAAGGGTGTGACCTCTTTAATATTCAGAGCGATATCAAGTACCCGATAAGATATTTTTAACGGAAAGAACCATCATGTAACGTGAGCAAAAATGTCCAAATTTTAAAAAGCATTACAGAAACAGACTTAAAGTCGATCTGTAGTAATTCTCCCTTACCGACAAAGTACTCCTAGGAAAATCGATAACATTACTGGCCGAAACCATAGATGCCTCCAGTTACCACGAGATGGTGCCAGTGGGCCGTGAAACATCCCTCGAGCACGGGTCTGCAAATCCGACTCCGTCAGCAGCCCCAACCGGAGTTTGGAAAGCGCCGCCATTTCTGCCTACCACCGCAGTCGCTATATCCACTTTAATGCCAATGAAATGTCAAAGCAGAGTGCTCTCTACATAACAACCGACAAAGGCAGTCTCTTCAGGAACTGCATAAGTCTGGCCGTGTCGTTACGTGTACCGATTATCGCGCTAGTCCTCGTCGTAATCCGGATTGTCCCGTCGGCCTAAAAACACCGTAGAAAGCGGTAACCAATCGTGTCGACTATTCCTCGTGGCTGGAACGAATAGTGACAGTTAAAGTATTCATTTCCAAGTCTTCCCTATACCTCCTAGTGCAAGAGCATAGACGATTTCCAATAATTTCCACACGAGCCTCAGTGCTTTTAACCTCTGTGTACCTGAGTGACTGTTGAGTGCGTAGGGTGCGTACATGTATGACTTTGACTTTCGCCCGGCCGAGACCCGCGCACCAATCATCACTGCCCTCCTAGTGCACTTCTGTGACCTAATTGCAAATTCTGGCGGAGCAGAGAGAACCCCTTATTAAAATCTCGTATGCCTCGAACGAAGGCGAGGTAAAAGGTTTTGTATACAGAAGGCCGCCACTCAATCAGTTCGCAATGAGCGAACAGGATGTCGACGATGTTGCCTTTCTTACAGGTGAGATGGACAGTTGTACCTGATAGGAAGTTGTAGAGAAAATATATGTATATTATGTGATGCCTGCGGGTGGGAAATAGTGGTATAAAAGTAGAGAAGATAAAACAGGCCTTTCCAGAGCATCGATATACTTAGATCGATGCTCTAGTGAATAGGCATGTGCCAGATACACAGGTAGATGTAGGACATGGATCTAGGAGAGAAAAATGGACATGAAAAACGAATCTAGAATTCTAGGTAAGACTTTAGGTACCTCTTCCTATATTCGTTACGTATTTGACCGGCTGGCACAGTTACGCTGCTTCGAATACTCGTCACGAGTACGTTAAAGCACGTGTCTACGATCAATAAGTGAACCTTCTAATCTTCCAAATTAAAGCCTTTTTCTACGTACGTGGTGCGTGATGTTCGAGCGCACCTTTAACGTTTAAAGTAACTAGCTCTACATGGTTGTTCTCACGCTGATATTATTTTTATCGTGGATAAATCTAGGCCGTACTATATACATGGTATCAATTATGTTGAAATATATATTCTTATGTCATATGTATACCCAGTGTTTGTTTATTCCATATACTCTACTCTGGATAAATATATAGAAACCAATCATTATTTAGGTATACATTCGTTTAATACGGTTAATTCAACATTAAATTTTGCCCAAGTATTTAATTAAGATCCAATTTAAAGCCTAGCTACGTGTATCTATAATACCCTGGGTGTATTATCATTGAGCGGCAAATTAAATTGGACAGCAGACATCGCAGACCTTGACGCTTAAAAATGAGACCATAATAAGACGTAAATTATATTATTCTCATATTCATTATTTTTTGCTATTTTTTGTCTTTATCACAATTTTCTCGTGCTATCCTTGCTCTATAATTAAATATATTTATAGGGGACAGTAACACGGGTCTACACAAGCGTAGCATCTATGAACACAACGGTGTTGCCGTGTGTTCACAAAAAAGGGCACTATGCATTGCCACCATTGTTTTCGCCGTTCTTTTCGCCATATCACTCATCATTGCCTTTGCGGGACCACAGAATGGTGAGATATTGCCTGTTTTTATAAATAACTGTGGTACAGTCGTTATTCTTATCAGTTCATCAAATTCTATTCTACGCGTGTCGACAGACTGCCCATGTGCTGGAGAGAAACCAGCTAATCTCGAAGCCGAGGAAGATAAGGAGAGCAGTAAGCCTCTAGCTACTAATGGTGAGGTAAGACTAACTGGATAATATTCTAATCGCGTGTGGAATCCTCACAGGAGGCATTAGGGATGATTGTACGTTTCTAAGAACCTGACAAGCCATTCATGCAAACTGTGTTCGATTATTATGAACTTGTCTTTTTTATTAGGGATAAAATCGATCTTATGTAATCTACTGGTTACTTGTAATATATAAAGTATTGTGTGCTATGTTGAATTGCGATATTTAATATTCAATTAACGTCGCTGCTCCGTACAACATAGAAAACTTTAGAAATAGATTCTACTTGCGCAGGTTTAAAGGGAATAGACGATTTTTATTTGTTTTACTGTTTTCTTGATGGTATTTCTAATTATTTGTGAACTATGATATTGGAGTATTTTTTTTGTACGACTTTCAAAATATTGACAAAAACGAAAGTGTATTTGTTTTGTAGGATGAAGATTAGGTAACTATGAAAAAAAAATGCTCAAATCCTAATGGATAATGGAATAACTGCCGTTATATCATTTTTTATTATTTTTATTATGTGGCTGCCAACGTAAATTTTCGGTGACAAAGATTCCGAGTGAATAGGGCTCGAGCCTTGAGTTATTCGATAGCACAGATTTTCACGTGTGCCAAAAATTGGCGCGACTGATAAAAAATATATATGTGTAGAAAGACTGCGCCTGAAAATGGGCATCCATAAATTCACTCTACACGGCGAGTTATCCGTCTAGGAAAAAGCATGGCTTAGTCTGACAAGGCACTTACTCCTTTTACTTGATAAATTTATGTGGTATTATAATTTTTTTTTAGGTTTTCCCATGGAATAATGTTAGACTGCCCACGTTTGCCCATCCTACTAGGTACAACATTACGATCCATCCAAATTTAACGACTTTGGAAATCAAAGGTGAAGTTAAGAAGATTGTACATTTTTTTTTGTAAAAATAATCCATTCCTATATCAAAATATATTTTATACGTAAAATTGGTTTTCCTCTCTTACAGGACAAGTCACGATTGAGTTTTATGTCGACAAAGAGACCAATTTTATCGTCTTCCATAGTAAAAACTTGACAATAAGTGAAAAGGTGTGTTATTTGCTTTATGCCAAATAAATTACAAATATCATGCATTGCCAAGTTTCTGTTCCTCTGTTCCAGATGGTTCAAGATCGCAAGGGGCATAGATTGAAAGTTGCTAAGTTACTGGAATACCCGAAGCATCAGCAACTTTACTTAGAATTAGAGGAAAGCAAATTTCGAAAACGTGGAAATTATACGGTTCACCTGAGATTCGTTTCGAAATTGTCCAGCGAACTGGAGGGCTTTTATTTGAGTAGCTACATAACAGCCGACGGAGAAAAAAGGTAAAATGAACACAATTTTCAAAAAATATTTTTTACTCAAAAACTAGTAAAACAGTGCACATAACATGTATTATTTTAATTTTCAGATACTTAGCCACGACGCATTTTGAACCCACATACGCTCGTTCCGCGTTTCCATGCTTCGATGAACCGCAATTTAAAGCGAAGTTCAAAATGTCCATTTTCAGAGACAGATTTCACATAGCATTGTGTAACATGCCTGTAGTCAATACAGAGGATGCTGGTTTCTATATGGGAACTGGACTCGTAAGTGAAATATACAATTGAATACCTATTCCCATAAATGCATAAAAATTAAAAGTATATAAAATGACACCTGAAAAGAAAATTCACTATAAAAATATATCATTACTAAAAGCTTTTGCTTATCAGCACCTGACATCGAATTCATTCATAAAATCATAAATTGGCAAGCATTCATTATAAATATCATCGCTTGTAAATCGGCCAGAACCGCATCTATACAAGCCTGACATAGAACAATGAAAATTCTCAGCTCCGTGATGACTTCCAAGAATCCGTCGAGATGTCGACGTACCTGGTGGCCTTCGTCGTCTGCGATTACGAGAGAGTATCCGAAATGACACGGCGGAACGTATCCGTAAGCGTTTACGCAGCGAAATCGATGCTTCCGCAAGCGCAATACGCCGTCTCGATAGCCGCAAGGATTATGGATTACTTTGAATTATTTTTTGGCGTACATTATCCACTGCCAAAGCAAGGTAGATATAATTAAGAATAAAATTAACAGAAGTATTATGACTCTTACTATAACGCGTTTATATTATCAACATGTAAAAATTCAATAATTATCGATTCCAGACCTGATAGCCATTCCTGACTTTGCTGCTGGAGCCATGGAAAATTGGGGCCTAATCACGTATAGAGAAACATCAATACTGTATGATCCGGTAGAGACGTCGACCATAGCACATCAATGGATTGCTATAGTGATTGCTCACGAGTTGGCTCATCAATGGTTTGGAAATTTGGTGACCATGAAATGGTGGAATGATTTATGGCTAAACGAAGGTGCTGCAAGCTTCCTTGAACACAAGGGTGTTAATCATGTGTCACCCCAATGGGGTATGATGGATCAATTTATATTAGAAAAAACACAACCGGCGCTTCGTTTAGACGCTTTGGTTAGTAGTCATCCTATAAGCGTTCCAGTAAAGGATCCTTCTGAAATAGAAGCCATCTTTGATGCGATAAGCTATAGTAAAGGAGCGTCGATTCTCTATATGCTGGAAAGTTTCTTATGCGAAGACGTCATGAAGAGAGGACTTAATGATTATTTAAATTCGCATTCTTATCAAAATGCGGATACTAATGATCTTTGGGCGGTTTTTACCAAGCATTCTAATCATACATTTGACGTTAAGGTATGTTTATAGTAGTTACATAGAATTTAAAGATTGTCGGTATATTAGTTGTACGTTGTACTTTATTTTGTAGGCTATAATGGATACCTGGACTCAACAAATGGGTTTTCCACTTATTACTATCAGTAGAGAAGGTAATATCATAACGGCCACACAAAAAAGGTTACTTTTGTCACCAGTTGATAATGAAACAGAACTTTTACTGCCAAAGTCGCCATTTAATTATAAATGGTACGTCCCACTCAGCTATTATACGGACAAAGAGCCACAAAATGTGCACAACGTATGGATGAATATGACTGATGGTGAGATTTAAAATGTACGCTAGAAAATGTCTTATGATATTAATTATACTGGTTCTTTAGTAACCTTCGAGATTCCAACTGATGTCGAATTCATCAAGGGAAACATTAACCAGACTGGTTTTTATCGTGTCGCATATCCCGAAGAAATGTGGACTTCAATTATATCTACGTTAATTAATAATCATACGAAATTCAGTCCAGCCGACCGTGCCAATCTTATTGACGATGCTTTTACACTCTGCAAAGCTGGAATACTGAATGCTACGATTCCTTTAGAACTTTCCGTGTATCTTTTAAACGAACGAGATTTTGTGCCATGGTCTACTGCCCTCGAACACTTCAGCTCTTGGGCAAGCAAACTGAGCGAGAGTTCAGGGTATAAAAGATATCTTAAGTTCATAAAGAGATTAATTGGACCAGTTATCAGATACGTCAACTGGAAAGATGATGGTCCACACTTGAGGAAGTAAATATTGCAATGCTATACTATAAGCTGAAAACATTTATAGAACTCTGTGGAAATGATAAAAATTATCTTTTTTTTTTAATATAGATTATTACGAAGTAACATATTGCATTGTGGAGTTTGGGTGAACTTAGAAGACGTCGTCAAATCAGCACATGATTTATTTAATGATTGGATGCTAAAGGGAAAAAGTATTTCTTCAAATTTGAAGGAAGTCGTATATTCAGCAGGTTAGAATAATAACTGTGTTGTTTCAATAAAAAAGAATCGTATTCAGAGCGAATATAATAAGATAGAATTAACGAGTGTACGTTTGCATATCTAGGAATCAAATATGGCGGAGAAAAAGAATGGAACTATTGTTGGGAAGCATATCAAAAGTCACAAATTCCAAGTGAACGAAGGATCCTCCTAAATGCTCTCGGGCAAGCTACTGATCCCTGGTTGCTTCAGAGATACTTACTAGCGTCCTTAGACAGGGACAAAGTACGTCCACAAGACGTGGAAGGTGTCTTCGCAGTGGTTTCCAGAAATCAAGAAGGGAAGCTTCTGGCCTGGAGGCATCTCAAAGCCTACTGGTCTAAAATGCAAGCCATGTTTGGAAACGGAACGTTCACATTAAGTGGATTGATATCAATAGTGACCTCAGACTTCTCCACGGAATACGATTACCAAGAGGTAACAAATACCCATCTATAAATATTAACTCTTTCGCTTCACGTGAACTATTGTGCAATAAATTTCTAACCATTTTCCAGGTGTCGGAATACTTTAAAAATGTCGACGTCGGCGGTAGCCAACGAGCACTTGAACAGAGTCTAGAAACTATCAAGCTCAATATTCACTGGGTAAACGAGAACGTGGAGACGATCAACCAGTGGTTGATAAACTACTTGAACGAACACGCAAGTTAAATTATATATCGATCCTTGATTTGAGGTGAACGTATGAAGGAAAGAAAAATGGCCGAGCCAAAGGTGTACACAGGGTCTTCGTAAAGGAAGAATTGTAACGTAGGGTTTAGCTTCAGCACGGATTTAATGAGAAGGTTGTTTTACTTTTTTGCTGAACGACGTTAGCAGCGAGAACTTACGAAGATCATTCGACAGCCTCAGTCAAGTGCCAATCACTTTAACGGTCTCGATATAGAGAAAGGAAGAAATAATGAGACAATGAAGAACAGCAAAACATATTATCTCGTAAGACGAGTATTCGTGCTCCGCTGTTTCTGTCATTGGTTGACGCTATGTTTCTTTTTTATTTGTTTTTCCTTCAAACCTTCTGCCACGTGGAAAGAATTGTTATTGGATGGTCCAACGAACTGTGTCCGAGAACCGTGAAATAGTGTACATAATTGTTTCTATGAATAACCATCGTCCCTCGTACGAAGATTGCGTGACCAAATGCTAAAACGAGTGAAAAAAAATGTAAGAGCTTTTAAGAATATCCCCGAAAACAGTAGCAGGTTACGAGTTCACGACCTCTAGACACAGCATGTTGAATTTAATATTAACCACGATAGATTATGGAATATTGTATAGAAAGTAAGGCAGCGTCTTCCAAACTGCGAGATATCGTCACAGAGGTAAAGGTACATTCGTGTAAAACAAAGTAAATTGTGACGGCAAATAAGAAAATATCTATTGACAGGTTCCTATAGATCCTGAGATAAAATATATGGAATGTTTTCAGAAATAATTATACAGCGGCTGACCGAGTATGGAAAAGGCTGCCTTGAGTTATGACATACATTTGCGTATAATAATATGATTCTGATTATGTAAAATCGTCCAATGACCTAATTTACACTGGACATCTTACGCTACACTCTTTAAAGCACTATATTAATATCAATTAGTTTTAAAACGCCATTTAAACAGCTATTTAATATGAATATAGTTCTTTACTACACCTGTCAACTGCTCAGTGTAAACTAGACCAATGGAGGGCTCATTTGGTGCGATTCATTACGTAGCATATCAAGCAAAAATAGAGACCAGCAAAACACGACCACGAAGTGGACGTTGTTCTGCCTCGCCTTTCGCTGTTGCCCAACATCGCCCAATCGTGGATACGGCACTTATTTTTGCCATTCGTGAGCCGAATCCTGTCGAAATGATTAGGTGATCAGTCTAAAGACGAAAAAAAAATAATCAAATTATTGTGCTGAAGAGTGGAGATTAAAAACTGTTTAAGTGTTGTGTGCCATGTGTTCATGTTGCTGAATGCCGTTACCGGCGCGGACGTCAAAGCGCCGCGTTGTGACTGGTTTTACGATGGTTTTCCGTGTGAACTAGCAAAATAGATAATTGGATATTTTACTATGGGGAACTGTAAATTTATAGTATCATGACGCTTTGTACGGTGTGTATAGCATATGAGTAAGGTGTTCGTATAGATAATTCAATTATTGCGATCGTACGCACGAATGTCGTACTCGAAGTGTGTTTTAAAGCGCCTAAGGTGAGAGCGAATGAAAAGAAAAGGAAAGAGACAAAAATAATCACTTAAAAAATAGTTAAATTCCTGCCTGATAATACGTTTCGAGAGATTATCCAATTTTCATAATTATTCGACGATCCATGACATGACTTCCTCATAAACTCATCCCAAGTATGATTCCATGCACGGAAATATTTCGCAGCTCGACGAGGAACGTTTTTGCAAAGTTAAACAAAAAATTTGCGATCAGGATTGCGAAACATGAAATAAGGCAGTTTCGATTAGCAAAAAATTCCCTCCAAAAGCTTATCCAGGATTTCCTGTCGCCGTTAAACCCACCAACAGTTTCTATAAGAAGGTTCTCGTATCCTTACTAGTTTTTGATATTTCTTTATCACGCAGTGAATGCCCAAAGAACAAAAAAAAGTCTGCAGGAATAAAGTAAAAATGCTCGACAATGATTTTTATCAGATCACATGAATTTTCAGATTTCATAAAAAATATTTAATACATTCACGAATTTTTCGACCTGAATTTCGCATACTCGTAATTGTGCGCGACGCGTAACTCCTGGCACTGTTACACTGTAAGTAAAGCAGCTGTAAGCTAATTCAAAGTAAAACGAAAAAAAAAGTGGAGTAGAAGGAAAAATTTCTTATCGTTTCATCATTTAGATTTTTATACACACCTAATCTACGGCGAATGAACGAATCGACGACGCACAACTAGATAACCTATTACATGTAAATAGGATATTTTTTCACTAAGAATTTTCTCTCCCATTTTCAACTCTCCCCATATTTTGTGTCTCTCACTCTTTCTCTCTTTCATTTCTAACGAATACTTGGAATAAGAGTGAAATCGATTTTTTTTATTACGAATATAAAATCGTCGGCTCGAAAAACGACGGGAATCGACGGAGGCCTACTTTGCATTGTTTGTAACCGAAGATATCTTTATACAAACGCAAACTCTATCTGATTGATTAACTGTCGGAGCAACTAAGAAATCTCATTTTCCTTTTCTTCGTTATATTTATTATAACGATTGAGGAGAGGAAGGAAACGGATGTAAGAAATTAACAAAAAGTAATGATAATTTTAATTAATTCTTTCGTTCGTAATAACATCCAAGTCTGAAGGAACGCTCCCAAAATACAAATTCAAAATGAAAGAGCCATTTTTATTAGAGCACTTTACATGTCCCTTTGTTCTAAAAAAGTGTCCTCTTCACAAAATTTAATAAATGCAATCAGCTCCACTAATTTATCTATAAATCTCCCACTTCGTAATTCATCGTATTCACAGGTAATAAAAGATACCTTGTGTATCTACTATAAAAACAAAATGTAATTATGCGACGGCAACCATCGTGAGCAAGACAAAAAAAGTAAAGTCATACATAAAGACTGTACAGCAGAGTAAACCAAGGATTCTGTATTTTATGCAATCATAAAACAATACCTTTAAACGTCTAATAAAAAAAAAAAAAAAGAAAGCGAAGCTGCTTGCGTTTCGTATATTAATAAAATAACAACCGATATAACGATATATTGTATATTGTTCTCTATACTGTACTGTTGTCATAGATATTTTGTTGTATAAAAAATCGAGACATGTACAAGTATACAAATGAATATATTATATGTTTAAAATATATGCTTTCTCTATTTTTCATTATTACGTCTAATCGACTCGATCTGAAAACTTTCCAGCCCTGCAGCAGCTATTTCGTGGAACGTACTGGAAGGCGACAAGTCTACACGGAATGGACGAAACTGTTTGTGAGAAAATGAAGCTGTTTAATAATTCAGGGGGGGCGTGAAAGGTCACGCAGGAAGGCAATTCCATTGAGCACCTTATCGTTAACATACAATTAGCATCGACTTTCCGAGAAAAACGATATAATTAATCCTTCAACCAACGACCTATACACTAGTATTTTAAGGGATAAAGATAAGAGAATAAATATCGATAATTATTTATGTATCAGCCTGTAAAATACCTGTTCACCTGAAACAGAAGAATTTTAAAAAATTACTCAATCGGAATGTGAAATTCTCCGAAGCCAAGCCGTTACAGCAAATTAGAATGTTCGCTCGGATCCTACCATTCCTACTTGGTCTCTTAAGTATAACTATCCACAGTGACTGACGTCACTCCGGGATTAATAACCCAAACGTCGACAGAAACAAGACGCGCAGTTTCCATCTCGTGTTAATTCTCACATCCGCGAAAGTTTAGTTTACGTTGCGGCAACTTGGGATAGAGGGTGTTACGAACGTGTTGTACAAGGATAAAAAGACGGTAAAGAAGAGACTAGTGCGCTACACCACTGCGCATAGTGATATACCGGAAAAGGGATAAATCCATGTCGTAGGAATTTTGAAGCGAAAAACGCGCGCTGCATTCAAACTTAGATCACGCGGTGACGTCGTGTGTATAATTATAAACTGGTGGGAGCACCCATGTCGCGCAACAGCTATTAGCCTTCGCAAAATTATTAATCTATCAAGGGGTAATAATGACTGTGAATTACGAATAAACTTCTTGTGTTTTGTTATATTGTGTACCAGGAATATACAACAAACTTAGTGCTATTCGTCATCGTTGACTTTTACTGATCACGCACATCGTCCGCAATAAATTCGATGGCCTTTGGCTGAGTGATAGTTACTTCGGCTGCGTGAGAATATCACGAGATAAAATTTGTGAAATCCTGTGTGGTTACAACGTAGTGGAAAAATGATGGAAACAGAAGATCTTCCTCGGATGATGGAACTTTTACCTGAAATTGATCCACCTGTTGATAAAACTGTACCAACAATTTGTAAGGTAAGAGAAAATTTCGTTGATTAAAAATTAGTGTCATCATTCCGTATGTGAGATTAAGTGCGGCAACGCTGTTGTGATGTATATGGCCATGAGCAAAGTTCACGTAGAAGTGATTACGTATTGAGCTGATCATTTATGGTGTTCAGTTTGACTTATACATCTATAAATCATTAATGTTTGTGGCTAAAAAGTTGGATTGTCTGTGGGGAAATTTGGAAAATTGGCGCAGCACATTCGCTTTACCTTGAGAATTGGGTCGTGATAATTCACTATTTTCTATTACCGACCGAATTATCTATGATAATACAGCGAGTTCTACCTTATCGATAATACGTAATGGTTCTCCAGTCGTAACCAGTAGAATACGGGTACGTTCCTAAATTCAGACAGCACTGTGAGTATGATTGTATCTCGCTCTATTGCTTACAGGAATTTTAGAATTTTATTTTTTATATACTTTGAAGTTGTACGATTTCAATCTTGAAGCTATTAGTTGTCGTGACAGCTTAAAATGATTCTTAATTATTTATAGGTAAATCACTGAAAAGCTGACTAATTCAGAATTAAAAAGAGACCTTTCATCGAAAATAGCGTGTTAACGATCTTTTTTACTTATAGACCTTTAAGATAGCTATAGAATCCGCTATTACGCTTGTTTCAGTTTTGTAAGTTTTTCTTCATATTTCGACATTTCATAAATTGAAATAAAGTTGATACAAAAACTGGATTAACATAAACTTTGTCGAACTTAAAATAAAGAAGAATATGATTTTAAAACTTTCCCCGGTTTGACGTCATCGCTGTATGTACATACGTGTGCACATAGAATAGCTGCGAGCAACCTTAACCCACGAACCTCTAGAAACACATACGTAGTTACCATATTAAGGTTCTAGTTGAGCATATAAAGATTCCATCCTAGACGTTTTTAAGAATGTTTAGTCGGACGATTACTTTCTACCACCGTGCGAATCAAGTTCGATTTTTCGTTAAATGATTTTTACCTTTAACATAGATTTCGCTAAAAATACTTACAGACTTTCTATAAACTTTACATTAATGTAATATTCTTTGGAGAAATTAAATAAGGTAACGGAACTAACAGAAATTTACGTTCGATTCCAATGTTACGGCATATATACTATTTAGGTTAACCGATAACCACATTTCAAAACATAAATGATTCGATTTCTCCATATTTTAGAAATCTTTATATCGCCTGATAATATAATAAGTAAAGACATTGTAGAAAATTTCTCAAACTAAGAGTAGTAGAAAATCATTCGGTTACATATCAAAATCTTGCACAATCTTACGCAATCGGATACATTTTTACAATAATGTGAACGCATTCAAATAACGTGACACTCAATAACGATTATGTAAGTCTCTCTATAGAATCGATTTATATGACTGCTAAAGACTGCCTTATCGTTCTACACACCTATCTCAAAATATATAGTGATAGCACGTTTTGCATATTCACTGTGAAGTCTAAAACAGCTTGTCATTCGAGACTCGTTTAAAAATCAGTAAAAACAACGTTCAGCGCTACTAGTCTGGTGTGACCAGTCGATGTCATCCATCAGTCGGTACCAACTTGATCACATACTTGGTACCACCAAGGAAATCCCGCGATAGTAGAGCTAAGAAACTTGCTTATATGTATATGCATCGATAAGTATCCAGTGGGGAAGATTGTTGATTGGCGGCAAAAAGTCCGAAGAGAAAAGTGCAGTTGTTACGGCCCTGAGACACAACGTTGCCAAAGTGAATGCTGAGTCACATATTCCGAGCGATCTTTCCCAGCAAGGTGTACGTTTCGATTCTCCGTGAAAAATATACAATTATTGCATAAGTTGTAATTTCGTGAAATAATTTTCGCCGATGTTATTGAAACGAAAATGATTTAATGTGAATGATAAATTGCGTCCATAACGAGCCTCGAGGATATACGAGGATTGGAGCACATGTATTTAGACGGGGTATGCGTGAACTGTCATCCCTCAGCAAGTTCGTGTAATTTTAAAAGATTTTTAAGAATGCAGCTACAGTGTCACTGACAGTGAAGCAATCAACGTGATTCTAGATAATCATAACGTGGGTTTGCAGATTCCCGTTTTATCGCTTGCGCGAGCCTACACCGAGTGCACGGGAGTTTGACGTGGCCCGTGTGTTTTGAGGTTATTTTTATACCCGTGTAACTGACCTATACCCGACGAAGAAGAACTCTACGTCTTTATTTCTCAACTGACAGTCCTGGTGTACGGTTGTCTCTCGAGTCTGCTGATTATACTCTTTTTTGCGTATCTTGTGTGATTGTGACAATATCTTGTAGATTGGAGCGATTGGAGTAACGAAATCTTGATAACCTCAAAATGGAGTAGTTGTCAACACCCAGACCGGTTTTTCATGTGATTTAAACTTTTTTGTGATCAGTGATGTACTTGGTGTAGTGGTTTGTCTTTCGAGACAATGAACATTTGATTGAAAGTGGATATGGACATTTGAGACTGTGGTATAAGAACTTTGCAACACAGTGCATACCCTTATCTTCTACAATGTTTGACCTGCTTTTTGTACTTAACATCAAAGTGAAGCCACTGTGACAACTGCATATAACCTAGAAAAATTATTTGAGAGTGAAGGAAAATATCTGTGATAAAAGTTGGACTAAGGTAGTGCGTCAAAATGTTGTGCCTGAAGAAACTATACCGAGAAGAGCTTTTGCAGCTGGCATTGCTGCTCTCGCTACTTCGTGTCGATCCAGATGCCTATCTAGGATTGGATATTCAAACAATTGGAGTAGGATCATTGGATCTTAACAATGGATCTGGGTGGCATACTGATGCTCATACCATTGTGCATCGTCCTACATATGTACATCCAAAGAACCTGGACTCGGTGCTGCTTAACTATGAGAGAGATTTATTCGAAGACTTAAACTCGCTAGGTCGATACAACCGGCTAAATTCTGCTCAGAATAATATTCATGCATACTTGCTAAATATCGAAGATGCTGGGAGAAACATCGCTGTGGCTGGGCCTAGCATGCCTACATCTAATGACCCATCTAGGAATATGACATCGTCTGATACACCTGACTCTTCAGAAACGCCTACAGAACCTGTCGGTGCTGCAGAGCTCACCCAAGAGGTACTTCTTCCATGAATTTTAACAGTTTATACAAGTCTACAAAATAAATAAACGTCCGAAACACTATTTACGCATGTGCAAAAAGCCTAAATATACACAGTGAATAGAAAAAAAATCTTTTTTGACAAGACTATCCAGTAGAGATTAATATGAAACTGATACGAATAGAACAGCAACTTTTATAGTTTCTTTAATGACTTACTTTTTATAGTATATGAATATAAGTTCTTATGGAGATTCCAGAAACATCTAGCTTTGCACATATTCTTAAAGTGAAAGAGTACAGTACAAAAATTCCAACCACATGTTGCATACCATATTCTACCGTTAAGTTAATAATCCTCATACGACGTACAAATTTACTTTACTTATCTTTCCAAAATACTCGGTCACAGCATTGATAGTTATTGGCAAAAATGAGTTCTACTCAATATATATATATATATGTTCATCTTCCTGGCGGTTTTATTTCACCAATGATATATTCGTATGAAATATGTATGTAAATTCATAAAATATATTAAAAGAGAGAAATAATTTCATTTCATGACTGCTCGATTATAAAAATATCTTGAAGGCATGATCTCACTATATCTACGCTCTAATACGATGCAGAAACAATGTCATATGATACTATCGCACTTTTGATCCCTTATCACTTGTTTGGCACTTTACGAGATGTAAAATGGTGTAAATAGATGTCACGAAATTGACAAATATTTTTTTCTTTCACAATCCCAATAGCGCGATTGGAGCAAAGGAGGGATGTTTGTACCGAATAATGAATGTCTATCCGGTATATATAAGACTGTCCCTATAAAAATCAACATGGACGACTTAACTAATAATGAACTCAATGACCCTTCCGGTATTACGACTGAAACATTGGTCTTCGTTAAACAGGGACCCAAAAAATAGATGGTGCTCTGACTTACAATTACAAGGCAAGCGTACAGGATACATTAATTCTGATAACGCGCTTGATGCACAGCCAGAAGGAAAGAAAATAGAATAAAAATAAAATTAACGTCACGTAAATAGTCATTCTGGCAGGGGCACTATTTTTTTCACCCGGAGACACTGGCATGCAGAAATCAAAAATAGCCAAAGTACCCAGACTCAGGTTCTGTAGTTTTTTGTTATTTTCTTTTTTATTTTCGCACACCACGATTTGGCGCAATACGTTTCCACGAACTGGATAATCGCCCAGAGTTAAATGACCGGCATGAAGCGCCTTGATTCGTATACGTATTTGAAACCTTGAAGCGACCTTGGCGAATACTACGCACCCTTTCACCTTTCTCTTCGACGTCACGTCCAATTACAAATATTCATACTCGCCCGCATATAAAAATATCTTATACGCCAAATGAAAAATTTGGATTAATCCTTTCAATATTCATTGTATTTCGAGTTTCATGAAAGTTCTCAAATATTATACGTTCTGCAGTATACTTGATGTCATCGCGTATACAGGCTACCCATATCTGTACTCATCGATCTGGGTTAATCAATCGCAATTCCATTCGCCAGTAAAACAATCTTTGATTATAACATCGTGTCAGGATCGTCAGTTTGACTAGTTGGTGGACTATCGGCTATTACCACTAGCATGTCAAATATATAGTTAGCCATGATCGTGCCCATTCAGGTTGCTCGAGGCCAGTGTAACCTATGGAATCATTTTCCGAGCGTCATCTTATCCAGATCAGTGTGCCAGCTGCGCATACGACCTTAGACACTGTGTGGCTTTTGTCCGTGATCTGAGTATAGAACGATCCTGCCTTCATCCAATGTTAATACGGGTTCAATCCCTAGAGGTCTACTGACCTCGACCAATCAAATTGCCCTCTTTTCGCAAGCCGAAGATTCACCGAGAGCACCAAAAATGTCAGACCTCTCGGTGGCACGGAATTCACGAGGTCTCGTGATTCGCTTGCAGTGACCTCGATATCAAAAATAATCGAGCACCGGGGATCCGCGGTGTCCTGAGGGAAAAGAAAATCTCAAGGGATAACACCAGATGCGACCTCGATATCTCGGGGAATTAACGTTCTGGCGACAAATCAACCAACCGATGCAGGTCATCACTTTAACGCCACTTGTGCGTCCACCCACAGCGTTTGAAAATAGCACGCAAGACCTTCGTGCTGACGATTTTGCGAATATCCAAGTCCACGACCTCACTTCGCGGCCGTGAACCGTATCTACGTACGTGCACCCGCGGAAGTCATTCCGCAAAACAGTTTTTCCATTTTTATTTTCTTTCACCTGGGATTCTTAGCTTCCTAACATAGCACTAGCAGTAGCGATAGCATTGCCATACTGCGTTAAAAAAATTTTTAAATTGCCATAAATAATTGTTTGCCTAAAGTAAACAAAAGATACAAGATCCCTTAATTTCATCTCTAGAGGATCCCAGATACGAATTTTCGGATCCCTCGCCATATTCCGTATCCTGTCTCAAATTTAACTGTGGGGATCGTTAACGACGACGACATCGGTGAGGATTATTTGCCACGTGGGGAAAGTAAAAATTGACTCGTGCTCTCGTCTCTGCGCCGAACTTTGAAAAAGACGTGAGTAACCAGTCCGTATTCACTTTACCCAGCTCCTTTTTAGTCACGAAGAACCAGTCTCCTTACCCGCAGTCTACTTCAACCCGGTCCACCTCCTCCGTATTAAAAATGACGCACCACTCCGAGAGCAACGCTACGCGGCCGTTTCGGACGGAGTCTGGAAGCGTGGGTCGCTCTGGTTAGGATAGGTTAGTTGCCCGACCGTGACCTTGCTTGCTCGTCGCATAAACCCACAGATCGGCCGTGTATATTTAGAGGGATCTAAACTATAAAGAATATCATTCGTCAGGGGCATTCACTAGGCTCTTCTTCTCACGCGCCCTTCACGAACCTTGCACAACTTGCAAATTTTATTGTCGTGTGATCATCGGGTGATGATTTACGGGCGCATCGATCAGTGGTGAAAAAATGAAATCATCGTATATAATATGGAAACATTAGCCGTCATTACTTAGCATCCGTCTTTACTCATTGCTAAGCAAAATAGCCATGAATAATAATTGATACAATGAAAAATCTGACAACAACTTTTACTGTATTTAAAAAGTACCAGTAGATCCGGAATTATTAAAATTTTACTCTTATTCGGACAATTAAACAATCAAGATAAGAAAAGCAATGTTAATCATTTGAAGTGAAAGAAAAGAAAAAAAATGATAGCACTCGGATGTAACCCAAGAGAACGTGTCACTGTAAGAGCTCTGAATAATTAATATTAATATTTTTAATTGTCGTTAATTTAATGTATCAGCCTGGAAAGTTGTTCATCTGTACAAATAAAACGTTTATTCTCGTCGACCGTTATACCTATATACATATCAATGTACATTGTTCTTCGAATTGTCTCGTAGACATGACTTTTCCTCGATATAGAAAAGCGGAAGTATCTTGACTGTTTCCACGAGCTGCTCTCGTCAATTCACGATGTCGCATTAGAAATTGGCAGAAAGCCTGGCTGTACTACGTACGCGCGAATCCACAAGTGACGAAAATCTTTCATTTGTTTTTAACGACCTTGCCAGTTCGCCACTTCCAATGCGGATTCGGTGTCTTGTAAAAATCTGGTTTGAAGCAAAGTAGTCTGGTCCTTTTGTTAAGATCGCAAAACACTCGCTCGGTCTCGAAATAAATAGTAGATGCCTATCGTACTCACAAAGAAGGTACTTTGTACTCTTGCATAGTAAAGTTATCTCAAATTCATTATATAGATATATACAGTGTATTCACCAATTGGCAGAATGCCTCGCGCCACTTGCTCTGCATCAATTGCGTTTATTTTCTGCTTTTCTTTGTTTCCTTTGTTCTCCCCACGTGCCGACCAATGTGCATTTGAGATATTACACGAAATCGTGTGAAATTTTACAGTTCTAAGAGACTTTTTCTTATGAATTATATCATTATATTCATCAAAAATATTTATTTTTTCATATCATTGGATTTTGCGCAATTTACAAATATACGATTAACAGCATCTTATTGACACGCGTAGATTTTTTACTATGTGGTATTTTCATTTAATTCAAAACACCTATTGTCACTTGATTGTTATTAAGAATTTTATAAATTCAATACATATATATATATATATGTGATAAAGTGGGTGTCTCAATGTTATTCTACTGATAAATACAGTCCGTCAAAAAACACTTACAACTGATGAACTTTGTTCGTTTGCTAGTTGCGTATTCAATTTTTGTTTGCCTATTACAGGTAGCTAACGATCTGTTCCACTTATGTACAGGGTGTCCGATAAAGAATATACGAGCCAGGATTTCTCTAATTATTTCTATTCTCAGCCAGATACGAATCTCATACAATTCTTATGAGTGCTATGAGTCTTGTCGTTACCAACAAAACTTTTCCTAGCTAATTTTTCACGTATTATCTACTGTCAGTCGGAATGAAAATAATCGGAAAATTCTCAATCGCCGCTTTGATTGACAGAAATATCTAGGAGGTGTCGTATTCTACAATAGTTCTTACATCGCGTTACTGATCCTGAAATAACGTATGTTCAAGGTAGACTGGTTTACAAAGAACGAGTAAATTACTAGACTAATTTATGCACAGTGCCCATTCCTTTCGTAATACCATCGAGTGTTTCATCGTTACCTTCGCTGTAAACTTTCACGCCGTCGATCTAATTCCGTCGATAATTACACGTAACGCTTATTTCTTAAGAATAGTTTATTTTACTTTTTTTTTTTTTAATTTATTATTTCTTTCCCGTGCAATTATTCTGGCTTGATTTTACGATCAAAATGTATTACACTTCGTGCCACTCGTCCTCGATTCTAGTACGATGCATCCATATAAAAGCAATCGATATTATGAATAATCGATTGATACGTGAAATAAGTAATCAATTTGAACGTCTGGAAATACCGTAATCTCATTTAACATTGGCCCAGGTCGTACAAA